TTACTTGGTCTGTTGGGTACCACTGCTGTTGTGAGGCAGGGGATGTTGACGTTTATCTGCAAAGTTGATACTTTTTGGATTAGTCCAAGCTCTTTGAGGAGCTTGATTGATTTGATGCAGTTTCCTTCGATTCATGTTGTCACTTCATTACTAGAATGATTAAATTCTTATCTTGAACCTTTGTGGTGGGTGACCACAAATTTGATGCTTTCCTGGTATACCAAAAAAACTCCATTTTCAATGCACTAGACAAGCAGTTCAAATGCCAGTTCTTTCTCAGCTGGTAGAAAGAGAAAAGAAGAAATATATTTACTTGAGAGAAAAAAAAAAAGGTTAAATTTGGAAGACAGTTCTAGGAACTATAGAGGGGAGAAAAACAATTAAATAGGGTACAGTGGTACGCAGTTCTATTTCATACTGAATTATGGAAGCATCTGAGTTGTCTCTTTTATTGTCAAGCTTCACTTAATTACACAGACCTTTGCATTTATACTTTTCCTTATAGGGCCCATCAAGTGGATACTACATATCTGTTTGCAGACAGAGTGACAGCCATGCTGTACATTGCAGTTAATAACTGCACATTACACTAGAGGGTTTCTGACAGGTGATACAGATAATGCTTCCATATGAACAGTTTCCCTGGTGTGTTAGTGCTGAAATTCCAGTACTAGACTCTGAGCTGCATTAATAATTACCTGTTCTGCATTTCTATGGGACAAGTTAGTGCTTCAGCCTCAGCATCAGCTTTCAGCTAAAGTGTAGGGATTTATTTGATTTTGGTATCAAGCACACACTGTTTTGACCTTTCCATTAAAGATGTATTGTGTTTACATCCTGTACGTGACATGATGGAAAAATCATACCCTTCTGTTCTGCCTGGAAAGCTGTGAATGAATGAGCCTCCCAATAGGTTGTCTGATTCCAGCTTATGTGCAGACAACATGGCCATTAATTTCTGAGTGGAAACAATTTTTCTGATGCATAAGCTAGTAAAGACACAAACCTTGTTTTAATGGTGTTAGTATTTCAAAGTTTTAACAGGTCTTTTAACTCTTTCAACCTATGGTGACTGTGCTATAAATGTCTTAATTCCAGTACTATGACATACCTAAATACTGTTCTTTAATAAAATAACACCAAAAATATATATTCTGAGAAATCAGTGTTGCTGAAAATGCTTAATGCTTCTGTAAAAGTCTGTAAGGGCTGTGACTGCAGACAACAGATGCTTCTGAAATGCTGAGCCTCCTTATCTCACTGGGTACCCATGTCTCTACCAGCTACATAGTACTGACCACAGAGTAAGAGCAGACAGTAGAAAAGAGCATCTGACTCTGTGCTATAATGTTGAAAATAAGAAATTGTTGCCTGGAGAGAGCTCTGCTGATTTTTCTAGTAAGAGATGTCTTTGGGTGGTCAGCACACCCCACCACTCATTTATAAAGACTACCTGGATTGCTTGACAGACTTTTGGGAATCTGCATATTGAGTTTGACCAGGTGAGCTAGGAACTCTTGATTTATGTTGCTGGCATCTGGTGAGAAATGTCTGCTGTTCTCAAACATGAGAAATTTGCTATTATGTACACTATCAAGATACCTCCCTGGACTTTTCTTGCATATTATGATACTTTGACTCATTTTGCTTCATCATGTAAAACAAATAAAACAAATTTTAAAATAATAAGTGAAGCTACAATGCTGTCTTGGGAAATCTCATTTCAGAGGAATACAACATCTGCAGAATGACATCTATTTTTCATTCTCCTTCACAATGCTTCATCTCCATTAATGAAAGTGATGGCTTTAATGAAGAAATTTCAGGCTGTGGTTTCAGAGCCACCACATGCCTTCATCTGATAGACCAAAAACAAGGAGAAAGATTGTATCATAAGGGGGAAAATTGAATATGTAGGAAACACTTAGAAATTGCATTGCATATGCACAGTCTTAAAATCAGTGTTTTTTATGATCTGTATGTGATGGTTTGCAAGGGATGCAAAGCCATCAATGCAGTATTTTCATTCTGTGATCAATAATTATTCTGTTAGGTGATAAAAGTACATGACCTTTACTAACAGGCAGCTTACTGTTGCAAAATGTGTAGAACAGAAACACATTTTGCAGGATTCTCAGGGCCGAGGATTTCTTATGCAAACTTATATTTGTTTATTGGTTGTTTGTTTTTTTTTTAATAGGAAGGTATAATTTTGTTACCACTGCAATTGAGAGGTTTGCTTTCAAATTCAATGAAAGCTGGCCCTTGCCTGTGGGTGCTTCAATGTCACGTGTCATACAATATTTGCTGATGAAGGAAATTTCATGTGGCTCTGTCTAGCCTGTATATTTGAACAGCTTTGTGACTTATTAATAAGATAGGCTTATGGAGACCCATGTTCAAAACTGTTCTTTTGAATGAATTGCCAGAATTTGCAGCAGCACTTATTGAACAATATTTGCATCATGTTTTACTGCTTCTTGACTTCTTCTTCAACATTCTCCTAAGCAGTGGTTGCTGATGACTCCTAACACTAACGAAGCCCAAAAGATCTCACAGTAATTTAGGACAGCAGGAGTAGAATGCTACTGCAGTCCAGTTATAAACAGTGTTTGAGTAATCTGTGGCCATTGCATGCCATTTGTTGTAAAACTAACTAGCTTACTATAGAATAACTCTTAGTGACACAATGTCATGTGTATGAGTAAGTGCAGGGCTTTTAGTGGAATTAAAGGCAGATAACAGAATTAGAGGCTGATAACAGAGTTCAGAATGTTCTAGCTGCTGTTTACTTGTTCCAAAGCATCAGAAATCTTTAATAACTAAGAAATTGTTACCATCAGTGTACATGTTCAGGTGAACCACAATGAAGAATCTGAACCTACTTCCCATTCTCTTCACAAGTTAAGATGCTATAAAAGCATTCATGCTAGAGAACATACAAATTAGAAAGATAATTTCTGTACCTTTGCATGACTTCAAAACACAAGGTATCTTCCCAGAAGGAGAACGACGTGTAGGAAAGGAGAGCTTCCCTCTTCTTTCTGTTGTGTGCTTACAGATACGCATCTTCAGAGCTTCCAGTGAGAAACTCAGTTATCTCCTTTCCTCCCTCTCAGCGTTGTTCGACTTCTGTCTCTGGCATGGAAAGAAGCAGAGAAAAGATTGCCTCTGCAGTGCGTTAGGACAGTGTTACATAGGGCAACAAAATGTGCTGCTGCTTGTTTGGATGGTACTTTTTACTAACCGATATGAAGATGTATGTCTGTATATTTTCATGAGGGACACAATATCAAGATACCACTGCTCTTAAAACTTACTCTTTGTTGTGTTGTAAACCATTAAATCTGAAGTTTAATTCCCTGATTACTGCAACCGGTACCTGTCTGACCCCTTCCTTGATGTGCAACTCCAGCCCTGAAGCAAGGGAAGGGTTTGCCTTTCCTTAGAGCACCAAAAGTAGTCCTAAACCAAAGGCAGATGAGTGGGCTAGGCACTCCTTGCTTTTACCATCACTCTACATCTTCTCTAACATCATCCTGATGGGTCTTTTCCTGTGTTCGGAATTTAACTGATTAATGAATTTAGGTTCAAAAAGTTTTGCTAAAAACTTTAAAATTAGTGTGAAAGCCGCCTTCATTTTGTAAAATCCATAAGTGCCTTTTTCTGATCTAGTATTTCCAAGGCTGTAAATCATGTGCTCACTTCTTCTGGTACATTGCAAGCTAGGGACATTTGATTCTCAGATATAAAGGCCTTCAATTCCCTGTAAACAGGGACAGGCAAGTGAGTTTGGCACATATAAGCTGTGTGTTGCAATGTGTCTGCAGTCTGTGCAAGTGAATATTTTTTGAGAAAGACCAAGATGATCCCTTTCAATCTGAGTTTTTTATGATTCTCTGCCTCTGAATGCCCTGACCATTGCTGGCACTAATGGTAAGTCCTTTACTGTCATCAGATTTGGCTTCAGTACAGTTACAACAGTTCATACCAGTTGAGATTCTGCCTCCTGATGTATTCACACACACATGCTTTTGAGGTCTAACTCTCACATAAAAAACATGAGAAAAATTCCCAAACCATCACTCATATTTTGCAGCTGATTCCATATGGCGTAGCTGTATGTGAGAAAATGTGACTGTGGATGATGTGCTTATAGATTCCAAGCACTTCAATGAGCTCTTTTAAGGATATTGGTAGGTAATAAACACAGCGGGTTTCCAAAACTTCAGGCTATTGAGAGTGTCCTGGAGAGCAGCTTTGTGGCAATGAAGTTATGTGCTATAGTTTAGTACAGATTTTACTGTAAATCCTACGAGTTGTGAAGTCCAAATTGTGATACAGTCAGAGATAAAGTAAAGCAGTCTGCTTTCTCCTCTTTAGTCTTGGGTTTTTAAAAGACTATTGGTATAAGATAAAGTAAAAGCCTTTTTTGCATTTGCCAAAGAAACAGTTGAGACTTCACAGCAAACTGCTGTAGCCAAACTAAATGTAATTACTAATACTACTGGGTTTTTTAAGAACTATATGCTTGCAAAGCATTATGACATTTGGAATACTGTTCAAAAAATAATAAGCCATGTATGTAAGGGCATGGACTTTCTTTAAGTCTAGTGTGGCCTCATTTTGATTGGTTTCAAAAGGGAGGACAGTGTTCTTGGCTATACTTCTTTGTCCTTCTGAGGACATTAGCCAGGTTGACTTGAACTAGACTGTAGCTGTAAAATATATCTGTTGTTCTTTGACTGGATTTCTTCTCCATCCAAGTAACTGATAAAACAAAACCAGAAATTTTAGCATAGAGAGTACATTTTGTGGCCTATTAGTTCATCTTACATGTTTACATCATGTAACACTATTCATCAGGAAGCTCGTGGAATTGCTCTTTTTTGGTAAGTCTGGCATAATGTAAAATGTAATTGAAACTTGTTTGCAATAACATAACTATGTCTTTTTTTACTTACTAGTTGTCTTTCTTGTCTGTTTGTTTTCTTTTCCAGGCAGAGGGTTCCAGGCTCCAGAGAGAGCTGAGAGGATATTTAGCAGCCATCAAAGGTGATTTTTTATGTTTTAAGTTGCTTTCAAAAAGCAAATTTGATAAAAAGTGAGATAAATTTTCTTATTTAAGATGTACAAAGAGAAGGACAAGTACAGCTGCTTCAGTCATTAATAATATACTTTTCTGTTTTGGATCTGGCATGGGTCTTTAATCTGGTGATAGAGTTTCTGCTTCTTCTGATGACAACTCATGTGCATACATAGTCTTGCATGCATGGCTTATTCTCAACTGCCCTTTGTGTGCAAATGTGCTGCCCAGAGCACCAACAAAATCTGTGCATTACTCATCTTTTAAATGCTATAATACAAAATACTCCATGCAAGGCAAGAGATCCCTCACAGGTTTCCGGGTTTCCAGGTTTCCTGGTGTTACTATTTGGATGATAGGTCTTCTCCTTCTGAAATCGTGTTCCCTAAGATGTTGTGATTTCCTGTTAGCTTCTGACTGATGGATCTATTTTTTTTTTTTTTCAAAATTATTTTTTTAAATTGAAAATAGGATGTGATCCCTTAATAATAAAGATCCAAGTAGCAGAAGCTCAGTGATTAAATATCAGAGAATAAGTAAAGAGCTGTTTAAATCTTAGTGGTTGCTCATAAATCCAGCATACTCAATTTAGAACTATATACAGCAATTATTCTCTGTCATCCCACTAATTTTCAGAGGAGATGGAGGCAAGGTCCTAAATGAAAGGGAATAAGAGTTTGTGACATTTGTAGATTCATTAATAACTTCTTGAGATAAATAAAGAAAATCTGTACGCATACATATTTTTAACCTGACTCCAGTCCTGCAGGAAAAATGTTATAAACCAATTCTGACATCTCTGGAAGCCATTAACAAGCAGAAAAGCTCCTTTCAATGGGAAGTGTAGGATGGAGAGCAAAGCAGTAGCTTACTATCTTTGATTTTCTATTATTTGCTGAATGGGCTGGAAAAGGGAAATCCTATACCAGACAAGAGGTAATTCTCCTTCTAGGGATTTGCACAGTGTTTGGGTTATTTTTTTTTTCTTTATTGCCATTTTGCAGCGTGAGTTTTGAGTGACTGAATATTGGAAACTGAAAGTATAAGATCTGTCAAAAATTTAAGCAAAGGAGCCTTCTTAGAGCCCTTTACCCCTTTGTTCTAATTTATCTCACATTTTCTGAGGTTTATTAGCACACATTCTTAAAGGGAATTTTTGCTCTATTCAGACTCCATTCCTAACTCAGATGTGTCTTCTTAGTCTCAGATCAGTCTTGCCTTTACTACTAGTTACTTAAGGACCCAGTGGAAGCATATAGGAGGTTGTAAGGAATTTCAACATTCTTCATTTATTTGGGATCCATTGGACACTGATTTTATATTCTGATTTTTCTGTCATTCCATTCCCCACACACATATCAGATGTATGCATAGCCAGAAGCAGTGTGATGAGGCTGTTGGGCCAGATGGCTTCTCTGTCATGTAGGCTGACTGTTTACATGCTGCTTTGATTTCCGTGTTGGTGACAACCCTCCTCCCCATGTTTCATTTTCTTTCTCTCTGACTCTCTTCTTGTCCTCGCACTTTGTGCATTAGTGATCCTTTTGCTGGCTTACTATCTAGTAGGCTATTCTTTCCACTGAGTTTTACTTTTAACTTCATGTGAATTTTTTCACTGTGCAAGTTTTGCCTTTTTAGCTGTGCTTTTCTGTTCCCCATCTTTCTCTTCTCACAGCCTCTAAGTCCATATGTGAAAATAACTTGGAATGGCTTTCTTCCTGGGAATGCAAAGTGTTTGCTAACACCTTGTTATCTTTCTGTCCTAAAAAAGACCCAGTCATAAGCAGCTCATAACAGCCTAAAAATGTTATTCTCCAAAGCCAACAAGCCACTGGTGATCATCCTTGGCACATATGCTGGAACACATTTCTGCTGGAAAGTGGGACAACAGCCCAGGGCAGCACTCCTTGACGCACAGCTCTGGGGCATCCTCAAAGCTGATGAGGTCAGCAGTGGTGAAAACCCCTCCAGATTTTGGGTGGCAGAAATCATCAGAAAATATCTACAATTGTTATTCTTTCAAGAACAGACACCATCAAAAATTTTGAGGTGTCTACTCAGAAAAGCATAGGAACCTCCACTACAGATATTCAGGTGCTGAGTGGTATTTCAGTATAAAGGACATCTGGGCTTTGAAAATACACTGTGATCAGTAGTTCATTTTGCAGGAAGAAGGTTGATCATATAAATGCATTTGATATCTTTGCATTCTTACAGATGGAAGAAAAGCAGTTCACTTTATAGGGTTCATTTTAGAGTGTTTCAAGGAATGGCAAAATAGCTAACCATTCTCCAATTAAATGCTTTTTATGAAGCTGGAATGTTGTCAGCTCTAGTAGAAATTGCCATTTTGCAGCGTGAGTTTTGAGTGACTGAATATTGGAAACTGAAAGTATAAGATCTGTCAAAAATTTAAGCAAAGGAGCCTTCTTAGAGCCCTTTACCCCTTTGTTCTAATTTATCTCACATTTTCTGAGGTTTATTAGCGCACATTCTTAAAGGGACTCCATCCCTAAATCAGATGTGCTTCTTAGTCTCAGCTCAGTCTTGCCTTTACTACTAGTTACTTAAGGACCCAGTGGAAGCATATAATGAAGCTGTTGTAAATCTGAATGGTTTATATGTGCTACTTTATTTAACCTGCATGGTAGTTTCATGTCTGCTACGCATCAGTTGTGTTTGTACTGACAAAGCTGTGTGCTACCTCCCATAGCTGTAGTCATCTCATGCCTCAGTCTCTGCCTCTTCCCATCTCCTTGGCAACGTGCATCTGGATCTCTACTCCATGATACTTTTTTGTGCTTTTTAGAGCTGTAGGAGATTTCAAAGGTTTTATGGGCTTGTAGTCAAAGAAACCCTAAATCAGCCTCCCAGTTTCTACCATAAGCTCTTTGCAAGTACAAGTGCAGATGAGTAGATACATCCTGTGATTTGCCTGAAGGTAACAAGCTGACGGAGGTGGAAAGGAAACCTGCTTCATAAAACAGAGTATTTTTCAAGTAGCTTGATGTAGTGTAAAGTAGAAACTGGTTTATAGGGAGAGAAGTGGAGATTCTGAAGGACTGTAAGCAGTTTTTCTGCCTAGTTGTCAGTCTGTAGCTGACAGAATTACAGATATCCTTCAGACAAATAAATCTTAAAATCAATCATTTTTTTTTCCTGCGAAGCAATAAAACTATTCATCATCTTTCTGCGAAGTTTAGCAATGAATTATGAAGTGATTGAGTTGTTCTAGTGAAAATTCTAATGAGAAATGGGCAAAAATGAATGCAACTTATGTGGCAAGACCATTTCCTTGGAGAACCTTACATAAAGTTCTCTTCTCCACTCAAATAATAACATATTAAAATATAAAGCCAGACTAAGGTGCTTTGTTTAGTTAGGAAAATGGAATTTTCTCCTTAATTCTGCCTAGATTTCCCTGCCAGGACATGAGGAGATGCCACAGTATATTGGCCTGGGAACCCCTGCTAATTTCAGGACCTATCTCAGTCTCCATGGGAGCTCGAGTACACTGAAACTGTGATAGGAAAGAGTCACCTGCCCTCTGCCATCCCTAGGGCACTGTGATGGAAACATCTGTACATACATCCTCTGAGAATCCCTACTGAATATTGTGCCTCTAGGAGTCTAGGGACAGAGGCTCTTTCCCAAAAAAAGAGAATATTTCACACAAGTGTCTCAAACTTCAGTAACGGAATTATTTAGCATCATTTTTCAGATTCAATTATTTCTGGTTATTAAGCGATTTAATTATCAAGAAGTGGTACTTAATGAAACAGTTGATATTAAATATAAAATTCTAAATGTTCACCAGCAGTAAAAAACATTTTCACATTTCATAGTGCCTTCATGACTTGCTCTAAACAATTATCTTTCTCAGTGACAGCAGCTGAAAACAGCAGACAGAGACAGCCTGCAGTCTATGGATGACACTAATCCTCTTAACTTTAGTGGTGATTAATACATGAAAGGTATCTGTGCGTAAGAAATATTCAGTGTGAAATTCAGCCAAAATGAAAAAAATCTTTGAACATTGTAAGTTTATACCTGTAGGCACAAAAAAAAGAATGAGAAGGCACTGAGTTAGTACTTACCTCTGCATTCCTTTGAGATATTGCAGTAAGCACAGGAAGGAAAATAGTAGCCTGGGTGATCTTGTCCTTTGGGAATTTCATACTGAAGCTTTCTGACCAAGAGAGCCAAATGTTATTATGTGCATCTGCTTCACTCTGCAGCTGGATTTGCTTGATGCTTTTTGCAGGGAATATGCTTGACTGAAAGACTGCAGAAGTGAAGGAAATGTAGAAGTTGGTGTAAGCTGATGTCCCTCAAGAAAGGGCTGTGAAGTGTCTTTTACTTGCTCTCTTAAGAGATACATGCTCCAGTTCTGTAATATTTAACAAATAACGAAGTATTTAACAAAGTCTGTGTTTGTACAGGTGCTCTGCGCAAGGCAAGCCCATGTCTGAGCTGAATGCAGATTGCAGGAGAGATTAGGGGAAAGCTGTGCCAGCAGGCTGCCACCAGAACGTAAGCTGCAGATTTAGAGTGCAGCGTCCTGAAGGGCAGAAGTTCAGGTATCAGAAAGGATCAGGTGTGAGCAGGGATGTGCAGACCTTCCTAGTGTGTGTTTGCCCTGAGTGGACGGAGCACAGCCCTCCTAAGCATGGCAAGACTGTGCTGGTTTTGCCTCATCTCCTGAGTTTGTTAATTCATAGTGACATTAAAAAAGATTTTTTTATGAGTGCTCCCTGGAAAAAAATATATATCATCTGTATTTTAGTGTAATCTGCCATACAAAAGAGAAAAAACAAAACAAACAAACAAACAAAAAACCTCTATTCAGTAATTCTTTCTGAGCTCGTGACAAATTATTCTTAATATTTACCACAAAGAAGAGGAGGAAGAAATGTGTCTTAAATCCTTATGCTGTACAAATTCTTCAAGCTGAGTTCTGTCATTCACCAAAACCCCTGAAAAAAATTAAGTACTCCACTTTGGCAGAGCAACTTTTGTTTAAGGGGCGAAAACCTGTACCATCTGAACTCATGGTTCTTTTTTTTTGTAAGTATTCTCCCCCCTTTTCTCTCTTGAGGGACAGCCATTTACTTGCAACTTTTTCCATACTTTTTTTTCCTACTATTTCTACATTAGGAAGTGTGCAGTCTTGCATTTACTTTCCTCTCATATCCTGAATGTGTGTTTTGGAGTGCTTGTTGGAATAGCAACAGACAACGTCAAAACTGCTCCTCTAGACATACAAGTTCCAAGTGAACTATCTTCTGCTCCTAAATATTTATTCATGAAGCAAACAGAGCTATTGATGCTAAATCTTGCCACTTAGCAGTTTAATCTGAAAATCGGATTAAAAAACTGCTGTTGCAGTTGGACTTGATGATCTTTAAGTTCTTCTCCAACCTGAGCGAGCAATTCTATGAATCACAGTTGAGATATTTTCAAGAAAGCACAGATGTGCTGCACCAAACAGACTTTGAGTAATTTTTAGTTTTTGTTTAAAGGTAAGAGAAAAATTTACAGGCTGCCCAAAGGGGTTCTGGAAACATTTAAAACCCAGCTGAGCTGGACACGTTGCTGGATGACCTAATCTTGGTGTTCCTGCTTCAGCAGGGGGATTGGACTAGATGATCTTTTGAGGTCCCTTCCAAACCCTGACATTCTGTGATTCTGTGAAAAATATTCAGTAGTCACTGTTTAGACTTTGCAAAGAAGTTGAAATAAAATTGTCATTTTAAAGTTACTGATCCTGAACTTAGTGTCTTATATGAGATCAGGTACAGCAGTTCCCATAAATCTCTGCCATTTAATCACCCAACCCTGGAAATGCTTCACCTTGCATGCAGGCAGGCATGGACGTGTTGTGGACAAGCTAGGAAACTATCCTATAGGATGGAAGAGCTGAATAGTCAGACATGCTGCTATTTGTTTGGCTTCTCTGTGATGGACTTTCAAGTAGGTATTAAATGTCTTCAGGGGGCAGGACAACCCTCCATCTTGTTTTCATCTTCCAATAGATTTACTTCAGAACAGCAAATGAAATTCCTAATCTAACAGGATTTTTTTTCATTCATAAATATGGGATAATTCTGATATGAAGGAAATTTCTCTCCTTAGCCTGGGTAAGCTGGTTGATCATACAGGTTTTGTTTCAGCTCTTGAAAATTGCATTCTAAACATGCCAGAGGGAATAGTATAGTGAGTGCACATAGTTTAAAATGAAGCTATTTATCAGCTATTTCATGTAGTATGCACCTCCATATTCCTTTTTCTGTTTGATTACAGGGATGCAAGATGCCTCAAAGAAGCTTACAGAGTCTCTCCACGAAGTGTATGAGCCAGACTGGTATGGACGAGAAGATGTGAAAATGATTGGTGAGGTAAGACATGTAGAAAGATGAAATAAATAGTATTTTGGCTGCAAATTCATTCATCTGAGCTATCAAGTACATCTGAAATTTCCCTTACTTCTATATTGTGTGAGAAATCAAATTTTCTGAGCATAGAAATTATAGGTCTTGTGAAGCGTACCTGCACCTGACTAGGAGCCCTATTTGCATTGTCAGTTTTACAAAGTAGTTGGCATAAGCTCCTTCTGAGGTCAGCCAGATCAGAATTGGTCCTCATTGCATCTGATGGACCAGTTTGTGCTACTCTTTACAGCCTTGTCTAATCCAGTGATTACAGAAATACAGGCTTTTCTAGAAGACATGGGGGAGTCTAACTTGAGGTACTCTCAATTGCTTAAGTAAAAATCCTTAGTTCTGAGGGAATTCTGTCAGCAGAAGTGCTGGTGGTGACAAGAAAGTGCTAAACATTACCAAAGTAACTTTAAATCATGTAATGTTCCGTGTGCAAGGCCTCCTGGATAATATAATAATCAAGAAACTGGAAGATAAAGCAGTCTTCCTAAATCAGCTGAATGATTGCTTTCTTCTTTGTGGCTGCCCTCTTCTACCTTTCCCTGCTGCTGAAGGCATGACATATTTTTGATTTTAAAAGCATCAATGTCCAAACATGTAAGAAGAGATACCACGCCATTTACATCCTCTTAGGTTAAATGGCTGGATGATTTGCTGCTGCATCTTGCTGTAGCACTTCACTGTGTGTCTGCAGACTATTAGATTTTACACTTGGAAATTTGTAATTGCACATGCAAGGACCAAAATTTTGTATTGTCTCTATTAAGTATAAGGATAAATGACGAATCTATCATCTTAATAAGGGACTCATGTGGGCAGTGTTATGAAATTGTTACTTCTAGTTTTCTCCCAGTATGATCACAAGTGTAAATTTATGCATCTCTCAACCTGGAATATGAATGGTTTATTTATGCAGTCCGAGATATAAATGATTATTCAAAGAGGGGTCCATCAAAATGATCTAGTTCTGCCTGGCAGGAAAGATGATGGCCAAAAGGACTCTTGAGCAATGTTTTTGGTCCCATTAGCTTTCAGAAAACCTCCATGATCCTAATTTGTCTAACATAAGTATCAACAAGATGCAAACGCACAGAACTCGCGGTTGCTTTCTACCACCTAATGCTGTGCTGCTCTGCAGACCACCATGATTAAATGTTGCCTTAATAAATGAGGTATTTTATAAGTGTGATTAATAGATTGTGATAATCCCTTAGAGTCTTTATTAGGGTAGAAAATGAATGAACGAAATGCTGACATCACACAGCATTTGCAATGTGCCCTGTGGTGGCTCACGATAAAGTAAACACCAGGGAATAGATTTAGGACTTGACTTGAGGATAATAGCCCCCCTTTAGCCTCCCTCCCACCAAAGGGAAATTCAGTCATTTTGAAATGTGCAAAGAGAGAAGGGGAACAAGATGTTTCACACATGCTAATGACTTGCTTAACTGAGAATCCAGGACCTGGAGACCTATGTAATTATGTAATAGGATTTTGCTTTTGGCAAGGAATTGCACCCAACTATCCCTGGGTTCCTTGTCACATCAGCTGCACTAACATGTTCTCAAAAAACTGAAAGCTACCAAGGGGAGCTGCCCAGAAGCTGCAAAGAGGACTGGGAAAAATTGCTATAGCTTCTGGGATTGATTTGTTTGTTTTGCTTATTGGCAAGTTTCAGATCTGTAATCCCAGTTTTCTAGCAGTAGGAGGTAGAGTTCAGTCTGTAAACCAGACATTTCATCAGATGTACTTTAATGGCACAAAAGTTATGGGGTAGAAGAATGGACCTTTCTTAGGGTGAATCTCCACAAGTTTTATTTTAAAAATCATTAAAAAAATCATATCCCAAGTTGAAAGGGACCCACAAGGATCATTGAGTCCGTCTCCCTGCTCCACACAGAACAACCCAAATTTCAAACCCCAAACTAAGCTTACAAAAACTTGTTGATCAGAATCTCACTTTTTTCTTTTTCTTTTATTTACTTTTTAATTTTTTTGTTGTCCTTCCTTTCTCTGTAAGGAAAGTTTATCATCAGTGAGCATAGTCAATGCTACGGCCATTTCAGATTCGGCAGTGTTAATCCTCAGGAATCTGAAATCCTGAGGAAGACCTTGAATACATGATACCCTTATTTTCATAAAACATTTACTATCTGAAAAAAAATGGGGATAAAACACCCTAATTTTTGAACTAAAACTTCTTTTTTGTTATTAATTAAAGCTTGCAACACCAAGGTGCAATTTTTTATTTACTTTATAGCTGCATTCTGAAGAATTGCCATAAAAAGAACACTTTAAAACTTCAGAAATATTAATATTTACCATTTATGTGTGTATTTCCCCTACTTTTGAAGTGGAATTAAACTATTAAGTGCATTTTTTTTTTTTCTCTTTCAATATGTCTTTACAGAAATGTGATGAACTTTGGGAGGACTTCCATCAAAAACTTGTGGATGGGTCGTTGTTGACTTTGGATACATATCTAGGACAATTTCCTGATATCAAAGTACAGTAATGCTTACCTTCAAAGGAGAATTTGTAAATACCACCAGTCACTGTTGGGTCATAAACTAAACATAAATTAGATTTCACACACACACAAAAAATGGGGAGGGTCATTCGTTTCAGCAGTGAACACAGTCTTGTTATGTATGCTATCTTTGGCATCAGGCTGTACTGATTTTCCAAAATAATTTTCATGCTGTAGTACTTGTATGTAAATTAACCTTTATACAAACAAAAATTTATGATGTTTTTTCCTGTTCCATTTTTATTTGGTATGAGACAATTCTCACTGACTTTCACAGGGACAAATCAAGCTCTTCAGCTGTTAAAATGTTAAAAAGACAAATTATAACATGAAAAGTAGGCCTTTTGTTATTGACTAGATGCACCTGTAGGTATCTAAATATCTTTCTCTTAACTAAATTATGGTTCTTGGCTTGTAATTAGTTGCAGTAAGATTTTGTGGTACATGTGAGGAGAGACTGTTAATGCAGATTCTAGCTTCTCACCGATCATTCCTGGTGTACACTTCAAGGAGATGGTTGTTAAATGAGGATAAAGATTCATTAAAAGTGTGAGGTAGAAGCGTTTGTATTTTCATGTCACTATATGGACAAAACTGGAAATTCTTTATGGGAATTTAGAATCAGTCAGTTATCCTACAGCCTTCTCTTTTGCCATTTACATCAGGAAAAAAAATCCCTATATTACCAATACTCAGTTTCAGACTTGCTGTTACATCAAACTGTGCTTATACGTCTTCTCAGCCTGTAGAATTCACTTGTAATGTGGAACTTTGTAAAGTCAGCTTATAATGGAGGACATTTGCTTAGTTGCAAGAGAATTACAGCAGTTAAATTAAAATTCCTATTATACGTTAAAAGTTCCTTCTATATTATGTCCAACTTCTGTATCAGAGCAACTGTATTGAGAACTACATTTTAAGCATCTTTCCTACTCTAAAAACACTATGTTAACTATTCATTAAATTTGCACACTATATATAAGGTAAAAGGACAGTGTTACCATGAGTTTAACAGGTCCACTTATTCTGGAGAATGAGATGAGTCTTGCATAACATTGTTACCTCACCACACCCACAGAACAGCCTTTCAAACCATCTGTATACATATTTCTTATTTAAAATAAGATTGTTAGTTTCTCTCTTTTTGCATGCCGGTGTTCTTTAGTGACATTATAGTAAGCTGGTATTGAATGGCAGATGAAGGAGAATGCAAACATGTTTAAATGACTACATAGGTAAAATAACTTAAAAAAGAAGTGAATTGTACTGACTTTCATTTTTACCTCTGTACAGACACGTATTGCAAAACGAAGCAGAAAGCTAGTGGACTACGACAGTGCAAGGCATCATCTAGAAGCCCTGCAGAGCTCCAAAAGAAAAGATGAAGGCAGGATTACCAAGGTAATGCACTGGAAAGGATGCTGGCTGATGACTTTGAGAGCTCCAGTTCTGTGCAGAGACTTATCACAAAGTTTCTCTTCTTTTTCCCTCTTTCAGAATTAGAACTAGTGAGAGATTATCCTTAAGGATAGAAGCATTTTAAGTATTTTGGTGGATGGGGAGGGAACACAGCCAATTTTAGGAGTGAGTCCTGTTTGTGCTCTAACTTTATCTTTTGATGCGATTTAGGAGACAGCAAGCCCTGTGTTGGCCTTTGCTGTTTATGACTAAGTCACATACTTTGTCAATAAAAATTCAAATCGAGTCACCAAAAAAAAAAAGAATAAATTAAAAGAAATATCCCACCTTGTGACAGAAACAGTTTTTCCAGGTTTTACTCTGTATTATAGTGATAGGAGAAGTCACCCTTTTTTTTGTTTTAGGCAGAAGAAGAGTTTCAAAAAGCACAGAAAGTGTTTGAAGAGTTTAACACTGATTTGCAAGAAGAATTGCCATCTCTGTGGTCACGGTAAGCCTAGGCAGATATTGCCTTAGAGGCCTAAAGGGAGACTAAGGAAAGGGAATAGGGGGATTTTAACAAGCTGATAGAAAGTCCTTGAAATCCTGTCTGTCATCTTTTGAAATCGTTACAGGGAAAATGCCTTATAATGATTGAAAATTACTACATTTATTGTAAAAGTATTTATGCTTATTTCTTTCAGTATATCTCAGCACTTAAAATTCTTTGTTATACAGTTTTGTTATAAGGTGCAAATGTATTTCATTTTTTCTGGATAAAGAACTGTGGCAGAGCACAAAATGGCAGATCATGACTCAAACCCACTGCTTCCATCACCCTTCTCAGAAACTGTGATGCTAGATACCTGATCCCTTCAAGAAACAAACAAACAAAAAAGAGCCACTTGTTGATAAAGGATCAAATATATCCACTGTTAAGAGCAACCATATAGAGCAGTCATGCACTGTGCCAGAAGATTTGCAATTGGTTTATTTATAGGTCATTTTTTTCTGTAAAATGTGTCAAAGCAAAGACATTTACAAAGGTATAAAGATTTAATGGCAATTGTTGTTTTCAGTCTTCTATAAAATACTACCGAAGCAGTATAAGAAAGGAAAAATAATATTTAAATATAATTACTTCAGAATACTCATTTCATAGTTTGACTCTGACTATGTTCTTGATAGAAAGGCACCTGATGGGATTGATCATTCGTTTGGGATGTGTAACTATGGACTGTATTTATACAGAAAATGCACACAAAATGAGCAGGAGAACAAAGACAATATGGAAATAAGCATCTCATTAATGCACTGCGTTCTTTAACAAATGGCAGTCTGGAGTGAAAGTATGTTGTGAATTACTGAAGTATACTTTGTCTTCTGTGCCTTCTAAATTAATTCCTGGTAAATTTGAGATCACTAGAGAGTTCTCCTGCTGTGTTTCTGTCTAGTTCAGGCTGAAAAACTTCTTTGTACTTTGAGATACTTGTTTTATGGGCTTGTGAAAGATAAAACTGCATATTATTTAGTAATTACTATTATTATTATTTATTTAGTAAGGGCCCTCTTATTTCAATATATGTTGCTCACTGACTTGTCTCAGAGAAAGATAAAATTTTACTTGAGTAATATGCATAGTTTAGAAACCGTGCTTTAGGTAGCAAATGCTTTCATGGTCCTATTTTTAGATATCACACTTAATTCAGGAAGAAAAAGATTCATTGTGTTGACGTACTGCAAGTTTATTCTTATGCCAAAGACAATTTTGGCTACTAAAAAGCTTGGAGAAATTGTGCTTGAAGGTTTTAAATAGGAGAAAGAATATTCATACCCTAAGACAGCGCCCCTTACTTTTAAAATGTATGGGGGACATGCAAACACCATGAGAAGGCAGATTTTTGAATGCACGTGGAAAAATGTCTGTATTAGAAAGTAATTTCTTTCATCTGCATATATTTCTGGATTGGTTTCATTAGGGTGGACTGAGCATGAGACATTTACCCCTGGGCAGTATTCCTTATAGCTGTCCCAAAACACACCCAGCATCACATAGATGCACTTAAGCAAGCTGAAGTCCCCTGCTGTGGGCTACTTGCGACTTGATTGCTCTATGCAGTGTGAAACACAAACAGAAATAGTAAGGAACAAATAAGTTTGAAGTCTTGATATTCAACCCAGTGTTACGCTTTGCTGAGAATAGTAGTAGGATTCTGCTTGTGGTCTGGAAAAAAATAATTCACTTTCTTTTGTGTCTCTGCTATCCCCATCCTTTATTCTCTTTCTCTTTTCCCTGTGCCATCCTCTATAGGCGAGTTGGCTTTTATGTGAACACCTTCAAAAATGTATCCAGCCTTGAAGCCAAGTTTCACAAGGAAATAGCTTTAGTAAGTAAAATGAATGCCTCATGTATAATGGAGTATGTGCTATGCATAACAGCAAACAAATGTAACACAGCAATAAAAAACTAGCAGCAGCACAGATCAAAAGTTGCCCTAGATCCAGATTTGTACTATCATCTTCGTATTGGTTCCTACTTGCCTTTTTTGTACTCTCCTTAAGAAAAAGATAACCCATGCAATCTTAGAAAATGGTCCATAATATAGTAGCCATGATAATGCTATTACTGCAACATTTAAATACATTTTTATTGTAATATCTTCTCCATCCTTCCGAGCACACTTTGCCTACAGCATTTTTCCCAATTGCTAAGCATCTCATTGCTTTAATCAGGACAGGAGAAATGTGTCAATTATACCCTTCAGGACCATTACATACATTGTCACATATGCAACATTAGATCTGTCACTATCAGGCAAATGCAACAATTTCAGTAAGGGTCTTTTGAATGCATTAAATACCTTACTCATTGGTAGTGTATTATCTGTAATAACCTATTAGCTTACAGGAAGCCAAGTGGCATGGAAAACTTGTTTGACCAAAGTCCCACGCGAGTTGAGATCAGACTTTTGAGGGGAGAGCAGGAATCATCTCTGCTACACATTTCTCTACCAGAAAGCTGACAGCACTAAGTCACATTTATAAACTTGTTCTCTGAAAATCAGCTTTTTTTAAAAACTGTTATCTTTGAGAACATTTCAGTGCATTTCACTAGGTTTCCACTTAGACTTTTGTTATGTATAGCACTGCTTATTTTTTGGAAGGAACTATTTACAATTTTAAAGAAATCAGAGCGGTAACCAGACCAGATTTATCAGCTATGTTTTAAATCACAGGCTATAATGCTTCATCTAAACTCAGACAAGTGTTTTATTCTCTCAGCTATGTCACAAACTGTATGAAGTGATGACGAAGCTGGGAGATCAGCATGCAGACAAGGCCTTCACCATTCAAGGGGCACCAAGGTGACTTTGTTTCTTATTTTAGTGAATTGCATTGCAATAAGATTTGTGGATTTCAGCACGTGAAGTAAGCACCTACATAATATATAGTGTTTGCCATACAACCCAGTTACTGGGTTTCTTCATTCAGGAGGGTAGATGAAGGTACCTTTAGTTGAAACTGTTTTCAACATAAGTAAAGCTGCAGAACTTTCTTCATTACCTACTTATTTTCCATTCTAAAAAAGAAAAAGGGCAATATTTTCTGCTGTTGCAATTTACCCTATTTCACTGTAGCACAGAATACCAGTTTGCACCAGCTTAGTAGGTAGACCATTTACTCTTAAGTGTTTAGTCTTCAGTGAGTTTATTCTGAGTAATACTCTGAGTTCAAGTCTCAGAATACTTTTAAAGCCTTGAAATATTAGATGTGTTTTTAGCACCTAAAGGCATGTGATTAGGTGAGAATCTTGACCTTTCTATGTGATGCTTTATCTCCTCTGCTCATGGGGAAAAGTCAGGAAATGTGATCTGAGTATATCATGAAAGCTGAAAAGCCAAAGTAAAATGAATGTCACAAAATGCCGTATTTTTAATGACTTCCAAGAGCAATCTTGCCTTAAAATAAAAGCAAAGCTAAGAAAGCTTAAAATCAGATATTGCTTTTTTGAGGTCATTGGAAGCCAGTGCACTATTTCTGATTTTTTTACTTGCAAAGAACAAAGCCTTTCTGCCAGAATTTGATCTCAGTACCGTAATAATGATAGGCAGAAAAGATTGTAATTATAAAAGTGGTGCTTGTCAAAACATAATGATAATTAGAGTGGATGCATAAGTCCCAAATTTCAAGCCAATCCTAGCTCATCCAGAAGCAGTCAGAACAATGTTATGGCTACTGTTAATTTGCCCTCAAGCCAGGCTCACATTAGCAACAATTAAGACTGTCCAAGAGTACAACATCTGCCTCATACATATGGCTGACATTTCTATATTTCTTTTGATCTCATTTTAAAAGGACGGAAAATATTTGAGCTTCCAACCCACTGCAGAATTTAGAACTATGATATTGAGGATGTGTCCAAAATTTTTGTATTGGATTAGTTCAGTGTTAAGCTGTGATCATACACACTTACTCCCTGAGCTGACAGCTCATTTAGCACCATTTCCAGTCCCTGTAGGATGGCTACATTTCCTATAGAGCATTCATAAAATACTGTTATTGGATAAAAAAATAATACAATATTGGAAAACTTAAAGTAGTTTTTGTAATAAACAAGTATTTGGCCACATGTGTCTCTTAGGCTGCGCCCAGCATGCACACATTCTTGTTACCACTGAATTTTTCTTCCTATCAGTGAGAGAAAAATAGTACAATTCTAGCTGCAAATGACTAGGCATAGATTAATGCTTTGTGATATCCTTATTTAAAAATGCTTTTTACAAATATTTTTCCTTACTGTGTTACTCTTTTATTTGAGCTCTGCTGCATCCCAAGTGAGAAAGTTTTAGTTACAGGTCATCAGCTCTAAGTGGTGGTTTGTTGTGTTTGCTTTTTTTGCTTCAGACTTCTGTAAGATTAACAGCTCATCAACACAGTGTAGTCTTTTTGGTACACTGTTCACAGAGCCTTACGTGAAGTTCAAGACAAATTTTGAATTTTATTATTTTTATAGTGCTCTACAACATTACTCAGGAATGAGCCTTTTTGAGATGAAACAGTTTTCCTTTTTAAATATGTGAGAAATAGATACTAGACAAGTACATTATCTTTCCTTTAGAAAGGATAAAATATAAAAATAGAGTACCATCTTAAAAATTTGTATGCTACTGAAGACAAATATTGTACTTAGGAAAGAAATTTCTTAATAACTGCTTATTTTTTCTTCTTTAATATTTCCACAGAAAGAGGTGGTGAGTGTGAACTTTGCCCTTTCCGAGGAATTTTTTTTTCTTGCACCTGTGTTAGGAACATGTTTATGGTGTGGTTCCCTCCATCATGTAGTGCTTCTGTTCTTGCTAAATATGTGTAGGACTCGCTCTTCTCTTACCAAGTACTGTGACTGTTGAATGCTGTAGATTATAGCCTCCCTGAGTTGTAAGCTTTCAGCATTTCTAAGTAGCTGACTATGTCCCAGTGTTTGCACCAGGTCCTTTCACAGAAAGAACAAATCCTTTTACAGGACAGGACTTCATCAGATCTTTTCTTAGTATCAGCAGAGCTCTGCTGAAGTCTCTTGACTACTGCTTGTTTATAGTTGTGGTGAGTTGCCCATCTAAATAGTTACAGCTATATAGTAATCTTGTTTGTGTTTTGGTTTATTGAAAGCTTCCTGAAGTTGCTGAGCTTTTAATGTTATTTGCATTATTCATTGGCATATCATCTTCTGGAATTTTTTATCTTTAAAGCCTTTTATTTTGAGAACTGTGTGAAATGAAGGCAGTAATTCCAGCTCCCATTTTATGATGGTTACAAACTTATATGTAAAACATCATTTCAAATTTAGAAAAAAAAAAGAAAAAAAAAACAAAACAGGAATCGAGTTTCCATCAAGTTATAATGATCAGGTAAACAGATGCAGCAGATGTTCCAAAAATAAAGGTCACTCAAAAATTAAAACATTGTTTGAAACTATAGATCACCGAATTTTGATTATATATAATTGCAGTTTTAATTTTAGTGATTATATAATGATTTGGTTCATCTCCACTGTGTATCGCCTTTTGTGGTCACTGGCTTTCAACTATTCAAATTGTCAAGGTAATAAAGTAGCATGATGTGTATGTCCTGACCATTACTTTGATTCTTGCCCAGTGATTCAGGTCCACTCCGCATTGCAAAAACACCATCACCACCAGAGGAGGTCTCTCCCCTTCCTAGCCCTACTGCTAGTCCCAATCACATGCTGGCACCAGCATCTCCAGCACCAGCCCGGCCTAAATCACCCACACAGGTAAGTGGAAACTCAACAGAAGAGACTGGCCTGTTGTGAAGTAAGCTGAGATAATGTATAAAGTGGTGTTTTCAGTCTAGGCATAGACTGAGAAACAGTGGGGAGACCACTGGCTCCATTGTGCTCTATATGGGTCATCGGGTGGGTGTTCATCTCTGTGCCTCAAGCATGGGTAGAAAATGGGTTTTTTTAATAAAGGAGAATGAGGACAATTTAAGGTAGCTGGTGAACTGGAGGCATTTGCTGTGCCTAAGCAAAACACATTTCAAAAACTTGCATAGTCTCTGAAGACCCAGCAATCATAACTTGAAAAATCCATTTCTTGAACTCCCATGAATTTCAATACATTTCAATACATACCCCATCAGTCTTGTTCAAATTCATACTTTAAAAAAAAAACACCTAGCCAGGGAGTATTGCTGGTCTGCCAACATGGATTTCCCTCTGAAACAGTAAATAACAGAGCTAGTTTAAATACTGCTGTGATATAATTACTGATAATTAGAGGCTTATTAGTTGTTACCAATACTAAATTGAGAAGTTTTATGACGCAGGAGTCTGTTATTCCCAGTATCAGTGAAATTGTCAATTTCATGAAGGGCATCCTCTGTACCATGAGAATTGTATGTGATACTTTATGAAAACATCAAAGACAAGACTTGATGTTGCTGATGTTTTCAAAATTGGGCATAGTTTCTGTGTTGATTTTTATGCATTTAGAAAACATGTGAGCACACCTGTTTTCTTTCGTCTTGTAAACTGTGATGTTGTAATGGCTGAACATTTATTGAATAAAACTCAATTTAGTCTTACTGATGTTGCATCATCTGAGGAATTTTTTTGGATTTTCTTTTTCTTTTTTTTTTTTTTTTAACATAATTTTAAAAATATCCAGTGATCAATATTAATCCAAGCAATACATTTGTCATAGTTACATGAATCTCTGGAGAGCAGAGGGAATTAGTGACCTAAGCACTTTGAGGTGCAGTGGTTCACAGGGGTGATATATTCTTAGCATTAAGTAGGCTTTACAAGATAGCAACAGGTAGGCAGGGAGAAAATCCCAAAGATATACTGAAATGATTTTAAGAAGCAAAAAAGCTGAAAAGACCTGGTTCTGTGCAGTATTGCTCATCCAATGGTCTGCTGCATAGGAAATAAAGTGCACAGCATTGTATTCCCGTCAGAGCAGAAAAATTTAATCTAATAAATGCTTTTGTGTGAATTCTTAAAACTTGAGTTTGAAAAATAGAGTTGGTTTTCTTTTCATGCAGTGTTTCCTTCAAGGCACTTGATGATGAGCAGCCAAAAGGTTCCTTTGATTCCATGTGTTTTTTTACTACATTTAAGGGGAAGTAGCAGAGACAAAAATCTAACTCAAGCTGTTTAGATTTATCTTAAATCTCTCATTTATCCCTGAACTAGTCTGTGATATTTTTGTTGTCTGTCTAGCTGAGGAAAGGTCCTCCAGTTCCACCACTGCCTAAGCTCACACCCACAAAGGAGTTGCAACAGGAGAACATCATTAACCTCTTTGATGACAACTTTGTCCCAGAAATCAACGTGACAACTCCATCACAGGTAAGCTTCAGAGGATGGTTTATGGGTCCAACCTTGCAATCACCTGAAGTTCTCAAACACTAAGGATGTATGGCTGACCTCAGCAGAGATGGAGGCAAAGAGTTCGGGTAGAAGGCAGGGACACAATGATCCTTTAGTACTGTCTTTGAAGGTTCACAAACATAGTATTTTATCTTTGAACAGGTCTTGAATAACCATTCTAAAGGCATAGAATTGCTAGTGTATGGAAAAAAAAAAAGATTTTTCAAATGAGAAATGATATTTCCTGATGAGATATTTGACTAAAATGTTATGAATTGCAACTACAGTTGATATTTAACTAAATTCAGGTTTCATCACAAAGGGAAAGTTAACCTAAGATGCCTTTTTTTTTAAATCCCAAACATCTTGCTTTTGTCTGTTTCTGTTTCTTCCATAAAAAATTATTAAATATATACCTACTTGGGGTGTGCTTTTTTTTTAAAGAAAGAGCTTTGCTCTTTTAATCAACTCTTTGCAGGTGTAAAAGGCTATGCCAACTACATATATCATTTGTTTGGTTTTGATTAATAGGAACATTAGCTACGCAACTAAAAAGTGATCAGAATTACTTTTATTTTATTATTTTTAAACTAGGAAATTTAAAATAATTGCATAGAACAAACAAAACCCAGAGTTGTGTAAAATAAGTCTGTATAATCTGCATTTAGTTATTCAGCCTTCATGCAGTTATGGTAACTGATGGTTGTTTAATAATGGACCATTTATATTTTGGTAATTACAACTAGAAATCCTAGCCTATGTCTGACAGACTGTGAAGAAATATGCAGATCTAGAACTTATGCTGAATGTTTACAAATTTTTATTTTCCCAGGAATTATGGTTTTTGTACAAATTCTTTGTACAGCACACAAAAATATAGGCATAGCAATGAAAGAAAAATTTCAGAGAATTTGAGCGTTTGATTTGGAGAGGACAAAAAGTCACTGCCATCTATTCCACAGGTATATATTTGGAAGAACAAAGAGTTATTTACGAGTTAGTTCCCACGCAATTAACAAATTAATGGGCAGCTCCCATACTGGGAAGCACGTACCCAGCCACTGCTGGGCCCTTGTGGAAGGGAGCTGCAGTCTGGTTTCATCATTATCTTAGGAGTTACAGTGTTGGCAGCGTAAGCCTCAACATCACTGGGGCCATGAAAATGACCCAGGGGATGGAACACCTCCCCTGTGAGGACAGGCTGAGAGAGTTGGAGCTGTTCTTTCTGGAGAAGAGAAGCTCTGGGGAGACATGAAAGCAGCTTTTCAGTATCTAAAGGGTGGCTAGAAGAATGAAGGGGGCAGATTCTTCAGCGGGGTCTGTTGTGACAGGACAACGGGAAATGGCTTCAAACTAAAAGGGAGGAGATTTATTTTTAAGGAGAATGTAGCTCATAATAAATGGAGAATGATTTGAAGTTTTAATTTCAATTAGAAATTTTAATTAGAAAAACACATGAAATTTCGCGTGTTCTGAGTTATCTTGGTATAATCAAGAGGCAAAAGTTACCTTAAAGAAACGTTCTTACCATGCTATCTGCAAACCAAATATTGAAGCCTTATGCTAGTAGTGTGACAGTACTGAGAAACAGCAGAGTTGACTGAAAGCTGTTTGTAAACAAAATGTACTTCAGTTTGTCCTTAAATGCTCAGCTGAGAGCAGCCACAAAGTAAATAAAATCAAGTTTGACTTCTTCCTTTCAAGATTTAGATTGAATATAAGGAAAAAGGTTGTAATGGTAAGGGTGGTGAGGCACTGGAACAGGTTGCCCAGACATGTGGTGGATGCCTTGTCCTTGGATACATTCAAGGCCAGGCTGGATGGGGCTGTAAGCAACATAATCTAGTTGTAGATGTCTCTGTTCATTGCAGGGGAGTTGGACTGGGTGATCTTTAAGGGGTCCCTAAAACAATTCTACGATTTAGGTTCCCTAACAATTCTATGATTCTAATGCCTCAAGGACGGTTGTGATGAAATCTGAACACATTGGATGAAAGACATAGGAGAATGAATACAGCACAGGCTACTGGTGGGGAGGGTTGTTTTGGTTTTGACCTTTCAAAGTGTGAGAACATAGCACCAGCATCAATGGGGTCATACCAGTTTTCTGTCATCGCCAGTATACAAGGACAGAGGCCAAGGGAAGAATATAAAATAATGCATGCAAAGTTATATTCCCTTCTCCTAAAGTCTCATAGAATCATAGAATATCCTGAGGTGGAGGGATATTCTGGAGTCCAGCTCCTGGCTCCACACAGCATCACCCAAAATTCAAACTCTGTGTCTAAGAGCACAGTTCAAAAGCTCCTTTATCTTTGGCAACATGGTGCCATTATCACTGCCCTGATAAGCCTGTTCCAGTGCCCAACCACTATCTCAGTAAAGAACCTTTCCCTCACTCCCAGCTGCCCTCCCCTGACACAGCTCCATGCCGTTCCCTCAGCCCTGTCGCTGTCACACAGAGCAGAGCTCAGCGCTGCCCTCCGCTCCCTGTGAGGAGCTGCAGCCGCCATCAGGCCTCCCCTCAGCTCCTCCTCACACACTCTGTCCTCCAGACCCATCTCCATCTTTGTAGCCCTCCTTTGGATGCTCTCTTAACAGTTTCTTGTCCTTCTCATATTGTGACACCAAACTGCCCACATTGCTGGAGGTGAGGCCCTTCCCTCGCTGGGCTGGCAGTAGCCCTGATGCACAGCCCCTGGGTACGGTTGGCCCTTTGGGCTGCCAGGGCACGCTGCTGGCTCAGATTCCATTTGCCATCAACAGCACCCCCAGATCCCTTTCCATGGGGCTGCTCTCCTGCCTTAATCCCAAATTTCCCACCCTACAGCCATTTTCAGCTCAGAATGGAGTAATTGGAGTCCAATTATTTCTTGGCATTGCTGTTCTTATGACTGATCTATTCTTGCAGCCTTCTCCTCCTTCAGGGGCAGAAGTTTGGACTGTGTGCCCTTTTGGTCTGACTGTTTACCTTTCTCTTGTGAGATTACATATGAATGCATGTGTACAAATTATATCCACTGATACCATTTCCAATTTTTTCATAATAGCACTCTAACTCATTATGGCCTACGTATTCTATACATCGAAGGCAAGCTTCTCTCACTGCTTGTGAGAGAGCAATAATAATAACTGAACTGAATAAACACTGAACAACTATCAGCAGGCAGAATTAGCCTTGTTACTAAGATGTGTGCCCAGAATATTGATCATTAGTGATAATTTCATCTCAGCTATCGTTTCAGACTGATGAAAAATAATATTTTGCATTGATGCGTGGTAATTATTTGCTTATGTTAATTTTCAGAGGGAAAGATCTGTAGTCCATGGAACCAATATAAGTATTTACACTGACCTCAGAGGCCTTGGTTAATTCATTAATTGTAAACAAAAAAAAGGTTCTATTGTGTAATCCAGTTTTGTAAGAGCAGATCAAGGTACCAAGATTTATTTAGTTACGTAAGATGTTTCCTATAGTTTATTGCTAAGTGCACCAATAGATTCGAATTCTTATTTATGTTCAGAACTGAAATTTAATTCAAATGCATTTATGTCCTCCTGTATTGACTTATGAGTAGTATTTGTAATTGCGAAGACATTCACGTGTTAAAATGTAAGGACACTAGATACAATTTATGCAGCTTCTTAATTTTGGTGTCTGACTCAGGGCACTTAAAATGGCCTTCACAGTCAAACAGTGAACACTAGGCACTTTTTCAAGAGGGCTAAAATTTGTTTGGGCTGAAAAGGCAAGGGTTCACTATGCAGAAAACAAAGGCATCATAAAAATGAAGCTCATAAAAATAAGGTTAAAAGTTCAGGAAAGTCTTCAGAGCTTCCTCCCATCTTTGCTTGCAGCTTGAAAATTTGTTTGTTTGTTCTTTTGCTTTTTGTTTTTTGTTTTTCTTTGACCTTTCAATATTGTATTTCCTGGGACCACTTTGGAGAGGGTTTTTTTTTTTCAAGGGTTATTTTTCTCTTCTAACAGAATGAAATTCCTGAAACTAAGAAAGAAGAATCTTTGCTAGATCTGGACTTCGACCCTTTCAAGCCAGAGGCTGTATCAACGGGAGTAACTCATTCACCCATGTCTCAGGTATCTCTTTGCTTTTGAGACAGGCACAGCATAAAAATGCAGAGCCCTGTGTTTGTTAGCAAAGGTTTGCATGATGTACTAAAGAGCAGTATATACGTCTATAGTGTCTGAAACACTTGACCTTCCTGAGAAGCTCTCGTCAGCCATATATCTTTCTCCTTCACTAACCCTGTACGTGATAATGTACTGAAAGAAGAAGAAATAGTCAAGTGATAAAATGAGATTTCTGCCAGTGAGAATGGTTGCTGGTACAACAGCATTTGGCATGCTGTTACTCTCCATCTTTAGAACAACTATTAATGCTAATATTATAACCCTCTGATGCCTTTTTTCCTGAGATTTTGTCTGACCCAGCTTTGACATTTCATGTCTGGAAAGAGAGATGTCAGGGACCTAGGTCTTATGGAGTCAACATGCAATTGCTTGCTGTGATGGAGTTTCTTTACCAAGCAAGGGGTATGATCTAAGTGTTTTGCTTCCATAAATCTTTTTCAGACCTAATCTCATGGAAAGTGAAAGAATGAAATAGCATGTTCCATTGAAGGATGCTGTGTTAAAGAATTCTTTGTTCTACAATAATATTTGCCATGGTAGTTTCTCTCTGCAATATATTAAAAAAAAAAAAAAAAAAAAGAACATATGAAAGTTGCTTTGATTTGCCCTAAAGCACCTGGCATCTGCTATTTTACAATCTAGAACTCACAATCACTATCCTTAGGGCTGGTATTATGGTAGTTTCCCTGGCCAGCAGAGCTGGAGCTCTGCATTGTACACAGACAAGGAAGCAATATTAACACACTGTTAGCAAAACCTATTATCCCTGTGGCTATCACTAACCTAGCTTGTACTCCAAGACATGGGAAGACTAATAAGCTGTTCAGTAATGCAGCACTAGGAAAGGAGTGAGCAGACAAGGAGCTTTAAGGCTGAGGAAGCCCTTGATCTCGGTTAATTAATTTCTTATTTGGTATACAGTCCTAGTTATATAATGAGATCTGTACTGATCTCTAATGGGTTATGCACTGTTAGAAAAACAGTGCTCTGTCAGCACTGCAAACATCAATGGAAGTTTCTCATTGTTCTTTGCTATGAGTATTTAATTGTAATAGAGGCTTTGTGCATCTTGTTATTTTTCTTGCTTTTTGGAAACAAGAAAAGAAAGGAAATGATCTCTTGGCACTCAGCAGTGACAGAAAATTCTAGCTTTGCCTTTGCTAACTCTGCCATTTCAGCTTGTCTTGAATAATAATTGAATAATTAAACCTCCCAGAAAATTAACTGTTGTGACAGTTTGTCTTGACATCATACTATATAGATTGCAGTTTATTGTTTTAATGAAAAAAAAAATTGTTTTAAGTTCGTCTGTGCCTTGAAATACTGAATATAATTAAATGTAGAAAAGTACATTATAAGGTTTTATCTGGGTACACAGGAAGCATTCACTGAGCACCTTCCATCTCTTCTTTCACCTTTCATCTCTACAAATACACACGAGAAAAAGTGGTTAACAACCACAAGCACGCGTGGATGAGTCAGAGCACCACATCTTTAAGCAAAGAGAGGATAGCCCTACTGTCTAATATCAGTCCTACTGGATATGACAGCATCATTGCAGTGGGATCACAGACAGATTGACGTCTATGACTGCAGTGTTTGGAGAACCCTGTGCAGGGAGATTAAGTCAGCCTGAAGTGTTCTTTCTATATGTATACTGGTTTTGCCTCAGTTGTGGTTATTTTCCCTTCAGAAAACTGTGCTGAAGCAGTGAACTGAAGGCAGGAGTTGTCTGTGCCATGATGCCTTTGGAGGACAAGCTTGACTTCCCTACTGATCATTTAACTACTTCCCTCCTCTACTCTGCTACTGTGATCAGATCACAGTAAGAGAGCCTTAGCCTGCCCTTCCTCACTTGCTTTCTGGTTCTGTGTATGCTTCAGAAGTGTCCTTTGTAAACGTGGCTGACACTCACCTCCTTTTGCTAGCTGTGGTCTGTTTCACCTTTCCTTCAGTATATTCCCTCCCTCTTGTCTTGTGAGCTCTGAAAGAAAATGAAGAAATGAAAATGAGCAGTATCCTTCCCTGAGAGTCAGTAGGATGTCTGAGGTTTGCAACAGTTAAGTCTATTAGAAAAGAGCTGTTCTTTTGCCTTAAAGTTTGAATGTTCATCTAACAAGGTTATGCCAGAGTAAGCAGGTACACTTATGAATTACACCAACACAGAGGAAGCACACACCTGGACTTAAAGGGAATGAGAAATGGATGTTGATGTTAATTTGTTGTAAATCTGAGTAATGATTTATTACTGTGTCTTTTATTTGTGAAAGTGAAAGCAGAGGTTGTTCAGAGAGCCATTCTGTAGTCATTAAAAGAAAAAAAAGAAGGTATATGCAGCAATCCTTTCTCTTAATGAGTGATAGGTGTAATATTTAACATATGGAAATGTTTCAGGAACAATTTTACATTTTACTTTATGAATATTACTAGTTTTTATCATTCATGGACTTTAACTTAGATATGAATGTAATAGATGTGTTTCAAAGTATCTCAGACCATTCAAAAAACAGACCTTTCACCTATTTTCTGCTTTCGTCTGTCCATTCAGCTCTTCTGTTGAAAAGTCATTAATACTGAATATTTAACAGACTGGACAAGAAAATGAAAGGATTGATCAACACTCTCGTTTTCTTTCCCCAAAAAGTTTGCGGTTTTCCTTCCTTGTGTTTGAATATAAGAACTTGAATAAGTTGTTCTCAGTTGATAGCAGAATCTTTTCTTTACTGGCTAAAAATGCTGATCTATGTAAGCTTCTTAAAGCTTATACCTTGTGGGCACTCCTGTACCTGTTGAACGTCATACAGAATCATTCAGAATGCATTTATTATTCAAATACCCAGTGGTATGAGTCCACTGGAAAACAACTACTGCTTTGAAGTGGAAAATACCACAATCCACCACATACTGCTCATCCTACTTAGCCAAAAATCATATTCTGCAAACATGCACTCAAATCTAAAATACATATATTATAAATATGTGTACTTATATGTTCTTCTCTCATGTTAGTTATGTAGCATATCAAACACACAATATATGAACAGTATTTTTCTAAAAGTATCTTTTTTCTTCTCCTTGTTTCAGACATTGCCATGGGATCTGTGGACGGTAAGACTGACATTTATCACTGTGAACTGGGATATTTTTGTGCATCTGATTTTGTAATACTCTGAACTCAGATTTATAACGCTTTCCCCAAAAGCCAAGATAAAGAATTTACAGACTATAACAACTACTTTAAAGTATATGAAGCCACCTGGGATCTATTAAAACAAGCAGAAAAAAAGAATCACTGTTGCTTGGTCTACAAAACCTAAATCATGTTTGAAATCTAGGCTAACAAAATTCTTATATAGTTTTTAAGGTGTAGGAATGTGTGCTAGCTACCTCTCTTAATTATCTGAAGACATAATTCCTTTAACAGTAGGATTTTAACCCAGTGGGCAACTATTTTTTTCACAGTTTGGGAGTGAAGAGAGAATTTGACTTGTTCTTTTCATAGTTTGCCTACAGTGGAGTTGCTCACAAAAGCAGCTGCTGCTTTAGGAAACTGCAGAAATACTTCCTTCCACCTCCTGGTGTCTAATCAAATACAATAATCAGCAGGAAGAAAACAGCTAATTTTTGTGAGCTTTCTTCTGCCTTTGTGTCGTGAAGGTAGTTGGGTTGACCTGACAGAAAGCCTTCAAGACTCTTTTTTGACCTTTTGCAAATTCATCTAGCACAGAAATCTGTGGATGCTTCTCATGCATTCAGATTTGCAGCACTGTCTTGTGAACATACAGCATATGTGATGTGTATTAAGCACTCATCTCTTTCTATTGGGATGGTTTAAAAGAAGTCTGAAAAAAAGAGTCATGTGTGCAGTCTAGCCAGAATTTCAAGGTTGCCAAAATCTAGACCAGCTAAAATAACCCAGAAGTGTTTCAAATGTATAACTTTAAATTAATATTACATATCTCTGTCAATTTCTTCCTTTCACAGATTTACCTATAGTATGTTAATATTATATATGTATTCTATGTTATAATTATTTTCACATTTCCTCTAGTTAAAACCAAAAAAGGAACTATCAAGCTTCACAGCTAAATATTTGAAGTTAAGGCTACTCAACCTTTACAGTTTTTCTCATAATTTTGAATGCAGAATAGTTGTTGATCTTCCTTGCAGTATTTGTATCTCTTCAAAGTGGTGCTGTAGATAGCTGGCTGTATAGTTTGATTCCACAGTGTGTGTGAGACTGTAAATTCTTCTTCACGGCACAGTGATGGAGTATCAAAGCTGTCCACTGACACCACTTGTGTTGCCTCCTTAGTTCTTCATTGTGTAATGGAATGATTCCTCCTTTCTATTGAGAGTACCTGTGATAAAAAAGTCAGTGGGTCTCAGGAAAGCAAGGTGTGATAAATTTTCAGTATCTGTTGAACTTCTTTTCTGATGTAGTCCAGTCTAGAAGGCTAGAAGGCTTAAATTCAGGAGGCTGTCTTTAGCCTTCATTGGAGTGGCAGGAAAGAACCCTTTGCTGCTTCCCTACAGCAATTTGCTAACTGCTGCTAGTTAGAGATAATTAATGAACTGTTGCTCTAGTAACAACAACAACAAAACTTGTATTCTTGTTTTCTGTGTTTTAAATGTTTTTTTTTTTCTATACAGACAACAAGCGAATTGGTGCAGCCGGTAAGCAAACTTCCACCCAACATTGCAGCTGCTCTATATGCATGCTTTAATCAACGTGATTTAATATATAGTTTTTTGTTCTGTCTATCAGTGCTGCTCTTCTAGATTGCAGTCTACTGCCTCCAAATGTTGCAAGCCACATAGCTTTTCCTTAAACTGCTTAATTTAGTCACTTTCATTCTTTAGATTAAAATTGCTCTAGTAAAATATAAATCTTGTGTTTTCTCATCAAGTCCGCCTTTATCTTTTTCATCTTGTGTTTTTTCTTTGCTTTTCTGTCTGCTTAAAGCCTGATTCTTCAAAAAGTCTTTCCCTGTGTAACCTGGTCATGGAGGAAATCCCAAACAGTGGGTCATCAGAAGATGTTAACAGATCCCAAACTGATCTAGGTTCACTCAACTGGGGCCTAGATGTTAGCACACCCAGTGTCAGCCAGGAAATTACTACAGGCGGTTCTTTGCTTTTCCCTGGGGCAGAGCAAACCTCAAGCGAATCCATGGGTACTCTACCTGCTAGTGTTTGGCCTGCTGTAGGTCAGCAGGAGGATGCTGCACCAGGGTCTGCTTCAGAAAATGAAAACCAGAGGACTTCGCTGGAGAACCTGTTGGATACTAAGAATGTGCCATGGGAAGATGTGGCAACCAGTCAGCGTTTAGAGAACATAACTGGTTTTGAGACCCCCATCCTGGGAACTGATAGCTTATTGGATAAACCCCTCCCATGTGATGTGCAAAAGGAAGAGGAAAAGCATGAGGAAGAAGAATCTCTGTGGGCAGGTGTCAAGCCAAGTGAAAAGGTAGAGAATGGAGCTGTTAACTACAAGGAGGTAGAAGGTACAGAGGAAATGGAAGAGAGAGGTGGTGAAATGGAAGGAAATAGTGAGGCAGAGCTTCGTAGGTGCTTAGCTAAGTCAGAGTGTGAAACTTCAGTCAGCACTGAAGTAGAGAATTTACATGAGTTGGAAGTTACTAGTGGGGAAGCTGGAAGAGCTAGTGTTGATATCCTAGATATCCCTTGGGAAAAAGAATTCAAAGGAGTAAATGTAATTGAGGAGACAAATTCAGAAAAAACATTACTGAGCACAGGGTTGGAAGATGGGAACAAAGTAGTAGTGGATAGCTGTGAAAATACAGAAAGCACTGGCAATGAGCCTGAGAGAGTCTTTGGTATCTGGAATCAGGACCATGAAACAATATTTGAGGATGGTTTAAACCAAGCTGACAGTGTTACTGGACAGAATACATCCACAGAGGGTATAAATGTGATGGTCACTGACCATGCAGAAAAGAGCCATACAAATACTGGAAACATTCTTTGTGATGCTGAATTACTCAGTGCAGAAGAGTCTGGTAAAGAAGCTGAAGACAGTAGCATCAGCATCCTCCCAAATGGTAGTGCTACCAATGGAAGTCAAGCTGCTGCTGGCAAAGAGTGTCCACAAGAATTGATGCCTGAAACTCCTCATGCTGCTAGCACAATCTGTGGTAATCCTTGCCTAGATAATAGAGAAGACCAAATGACAGGTAGGGCAGCAGCAGCAGCCACTGAAGAGCATCCTCATAGCAGTGGTGTTTCTGAAACCTTGGAAATGGACCCCTGGCTGGCAAACTGGGATCCAACAGTTACTAATGATTCCTGGGGGTTTTCAAATATGTCAGATGGCCAAGCCAATGGACTGGATAATTGGCCCTTTTTCCCCAGGCAGCAAGACTCAGAGGAAGGTAACATGGAAAATCCTTGGTTAGGCATTAGTGATAAGTGGTCTACACAGGACCTGGGAGGGACTGATAGCATCTGGGGAGAAGTAAGTGTAAGCACAAGCAATAAAAGTCAGGAGGAACCAATAAAACAAGGTTTGCCTGGGGAGCAGGCAAGTGTTAGCAATACTGGACTTAGCAATGAGGCAGTTAGACCCTTGGCTCTGTTTCAAATGGGAAATTCCCGAAATGCTAGCACCGAGAGTTCAACTAGTCCTAAAGACAATGAGACCAACAACTCAGATTTATCTGAAGATGAAATTGCTAACCGGAGATATGGATTGTTGTACCAGGAAATTGAGGCTGATAAAGAAGAGGTACCTACCCCAGTGTGTAGCCTAGTCTAGACAAAGAGTTCCTTAGGTCATGCATAACCTTGTCGTTTAAAACCAATCCATCTGTGTGTTTCCTGCTACCCCTCCTAAACCCTTGCAATTCTTTTTCGAAAAATTGTCACGCAACTGTTCATAGTGTGGTGCCCTTCAGCCATGTAATGAAGCAGGCTGACAAAAATGCATTTCAGAAAGGTGAATGAAGCTTCACACTGTGAAGGCACGTGGTGTCTCACAGCTTTTGTACCTTATATGTATAATTTTAAATGTATCTCCAGTCTTTTCTTTTTGTTTTTATAAAAATACTTGAGTCACTCTGCTTTTTTTATTCGTTTTGGTGCTCTCTGTAAGCCCGTGAAATCTGTTATCGAATAGCACTGTCATCAAGTATCTTTCTGCCTTGCCCTTCCTTTTGTTATTTATTTACTTTGTTTTATGTCTGGCCTATTTTTATTTTGCAAATAGAAATGTTTTATCCATGTTCTCATTTGGTAAACAAATGATAATTTGTCCTGATCTTCACTTCTACTTAGGCATCCAGCACAGCATTTAATGGATTTGCACAGGTGAGAAACAAGCAAATTTTGAGAAGTTTTTTTCTGTTTTGTTGGGAAGAGATTAAGACTAGCTGCACAGTTTTGAAAACTCTGCTCTACAGACCAGCTGCACAATAATGTCATGCTGACACAAATCCTGAACTTGTCTGGCCTCAGAAAGTATTCCTGGATGTTCCTAGAAGTTGCTAATATTCTTGGCACTCTTGGCCCAACTGAATTTAATTGGAAGACTCCCACTAGCTTAGCAGAACTGTCTTCTTATTTTCCATATGAAAGAACTGGATTAGTATTTTTATTGCTCTCTTTTTTGGGTTTTTCTAACAATCTCAAAATCCTGTAAAGCATGGCTTCCTCACAGCTTTCACACATGTTCAGTGACTCTATGTATTTATGTATTTATGAAATGAGTTTTATTTCTTTCTGCAATTTTGTTTTCATTTAAAATACGTTTTAGTCTGGGAATTAAATCTGAGCTGTTTATTTACTGCTGTCCTAATGCTGAGAATCTGCATGAGGCACTGCAGCAGGGCAGTACACGTTCATGCTCTCAAATTCCAGGGCCACCATCCCAAGTGATAATGCAGATAATTTGGGGCCTTCTTAAATTCCAGCAGCCTTTCAGAGTCTGGCTTACCCACAGCATACTCTGCACACTATTTTTTAGATTTGCACACAAAAAAAGCTGGGCATCTGCAAGGCTGAAAATGAGTCTTTCAGTGCTTATTAATTTTGCTACAGGCCTTTTACATTAGTAAAGTATTCAGGAAGGGCTAAAAGGAAGGAAGGGCTAAAATACAAAGCTGCCACCACTTTCTCTAAGGGAAAATGTTCACCTGGGGTTGAAATAAACATTTGATCCTTCTCACCCTCACAGTAGGAACAAACATTAGCATTTTCCAAATGGATTGTTTCTGAGTAAGACGTTGGAAAATTTGTTCTCAGCTTCTGTGCCTTATTAATTCATATGAAGTTTCACATCTCTAATTACTTAGTAGTGTATGTGCTATTCAAATAAAAGCCCAGAATCCAGAGGATGTGTAAGTAACTTAGAGCTAGTGTACTCCCTATGCACATGCAGTCAGTCTGGCAAAATAAAATTTTGCCATTCACTATTTAGAAATGCAGTGTGCCTGAAGCAAAGTCCTTGCAATTCACTTCTTTTCAGCGAAGGGTTCTTCACTGATTTGAATAACTTCAAACATTTTAGAATCATGGAACATGTTTGAAAAAGGAAGGTCTTTAATATTAATATCCATACCTATTTAGATTATCGTTTTTCCATCTAAGCTCAGTTATTGATGGTTATGCCTGAGTAAGCCATAAAAAATCAGATCTTTAATTGATACATCCCATGTCAAATATTGTTGCTTCGTTTTTTTTATTTTCTATATGCAGGATACCGCTGCATTTACAGTGCAATCAAATGAGAATGTGACAGAGACTCTGGTAAGTGGTGGATTTTGCTTCTTTTCTAAATGTTGTGTAAAAAAAAGGGTACTGTTTTTTTCTTTGTACGAAAATATTTGCTCCTTTGTACAAAAACATGGGTGTTTTCCATCCTCTAATTCATTAAATCTTAACCTGAAAGAATAGGTGGGTGTACTATTGCAGCTGTAAATCTTTACTTTCCGAAAGTCTTTCACAAGGATAGCACTGCAAAAAAAGAAAAACAGGATGCCCTAGATACTTTTAATTTTTGAAGGTGTAGTCAGTGTACTTATTTATTGCACTTAAGAAACAGCAAGAATGGGCACTATGGTCCAGTGTACGGCAAGAAAGTGCTTACGTGTAATGTCGGTATACATACCTCTAATATTAGTATAGCTTTATCTTCCACATTTTAGTAGGTACCATCTTTTAAGGGACAGGAATATTGTTGAAAGTAATCATGCTTTGGTGGTTTCTTAGTTCCTCTTACTGTCTTCGGTTAGCCTGAATTAAGGATATGGAATAGCAGCATTGTTGGGTGAATGCTACCATTACTTAAGGACAGAAGAGTGATACTATTTTTTAGTGTGACTTTGGTTACTGAATACCATGAGAGCATTTTTAGTATTTTTATTTGTAGTTCAACTGTGGCAAGTAGTCTAAAGACTGCTTGTCCATAAGTGATTCAAAAGCACATCAGCACAATCTGCATTATAACATATTACCTCTGATTTTAAGCCTGAAAGTTTCTTCCAGTATTAAACCCCAGGAAACTCATTAGCCATCTTACCTGGGATAAATCTGTCTTTTGTTTCTCATTACAATCATGTTTTTTCTTTGTGAAATTCCTTGGAACTGGTATTATCACACAAGACAGACTTCTGCACAGTGTGGAATAATATAATGAATGTTTCTTTATTCTTTGCCAAATCCTAAAAGTGTTGCTTAGGCAGACTTCTCTATACCTCATTAAAAATAAGCCTGCTAAAGGAATATATGAGAAAAGAATTGAAAGGATATGTTTGGTTTGGTGGTTGGTTTTTCTGTTTGGTTTTGTTTTGTTGTTGTTTTCTGAAAAACATCAGGGAGAAGATTTTAGTATTTTTAAGAATTTCATGGAAGATGTCTCTTCGTTACAGAAGACCTTCTAACCAGCTGCATCTTATCAACTGCAAAGCAGCTAAATAGCTTTTGAGGTTCATATTATGCTGAGCAATTTGTTCATGGCAAATTAATCTACTGGGGTTATTTTATCTGGTTGAGTCAGCCATCTTTATAAATGGAATATGCTGAGCACAGCTTGCAGCTCTCTCCTTCAGCATGTATGTGTTTGCAAGGTTTTGTCCCTAGCAGAAATAGTACTTTTGCTGGGAGCTGTTTTGCTACAGGACCAAACATCTTGCAGGACTGGTGATGTTTACTTGATGCACTTCCTAAAGAGGAAGCATAGGCCAGAATTTTAGAGGGTAGGAATTCCAGAAGCATGGCTGATAAATGGAAGCTTTGTAGGTGATTGAGATCTCAGGATGAAATAAGCATTAAAAAGAAACTAGGGATAACTTTTTTTTTACTCAGAAGGTGGTGAGGTACTGGAACAGGCTGCCCAGAGAAGTTCTGGATGCCTCTGGGTCTAAAGGGTGGCTCATAGCAGGCGGATTAGAACTGAACAGTCTTTAAGGTCCCTTCCAATTCAAGCCATTCTATGATTCTATGATTTTCAATGTCGGAATTCATGCAGTTAGTACTTGCCTATGTGAAAACAGAGTCTGCAGAATGTTTCTTACTTTCAACAGAGAAGGAGCCATTTTGTCTGAGAACTAGTGAAATTAGGGAGATTGGGGATAATTTTAAAAAATCATATTTGAAATCATAATTTGGGACACTCCTCACTTTGCTGTCACTTTCTAGAGCATTTCTGAGCAACCTGATTACTTCTCCCCCATTTTTGCTGCTGCTTTCAATAACTCAGGAAGCTAGCACTCTCTTTCCTTGCAAGGGAGGGATGTAGGACTGACTCAGTTTGTATACAGGACACTGAGAATGAAGATGCTCTGTAGATGTTAATTAGTAATGTAAGGCTGCCCTCTTCCCGGCAAAGCCATGTGGGACTGAGTCTGCTAGGAGTGAAGCAGCACTGTAATGCCAGTCAGAGCTCCCATTCCCTTCTTCCCTCCCCACTATCATGTGCTCCTCAACAAATTTTCCACTGTTTACTTAAAAATCAATAAAACAAAAGACTGATGCTGAAGAAGCTCCACCTGGGGAACTCAAGGTCGAGGAAACCCCTACTGCTGCTGTTGTGGAAAAGGAGGCCATCCCTGCTGAGCCAGATGAGCCAACAGAGCAGGCTGCGGTGAGTGATCTGTCCCCCATGTCCATCTCCTAGCCTCATCTGAGCCATCTCTCATCACAGTGAATGTGCCTGCTGTATTTCAGCCATCCTCTCCGTTCCTCATCATGGCTAGTTTTTTCAGCATCCAGCTGTGTCACAGCATGCCTCTCCAGCAACGTTTGCTCCTTTTGGTCCTAAAATGTCATTCCTTTTAAGACTGGCATTTTAGCTGGAAGTTCACCTGAATGGTCTTACAGGCAGTCAGAGGTCAGTGCAGAGCATCAACAAAAGGCTTATCAGATATGCAGATACTATAGCATTGCGTGGATCTGTCTGTGGAGCTGATTGTGTTTCACATTCCTGCTAGTGGCAATGGCTCAGGCTCTACAAGCCTGATTGTGACATTTATTAACATAGGGGAACAGCATTAGGAAAGCATACAAACAGAACCAAGGAGTGGCTTGAAAATGGTCTGAAGCTCTACTCAACCAGTGTCAGGTTGGGTGTTTGCTGGTGCTGTTGGACCACTGCAAAAGCCATTCATGATACCACGCAAACTGTCTTCAGCAGAAGGCTCTGGAGTACAGCTGTAGTTTAAAGAACTTCTCAAAGACAGATAGATGATGTTGCCTGAATAGTTCCAACTATGTCACTGGATTAAAAACAGGTATCAAATATGAATGAAATGAAATGAAAAGGCAGGCTGAGTTTTAGTTGCAGCACCTGCCTAGTTATCATTTCTCCCTTGCTCCTATCGTCCTAACAAAGTAAAAAGAATATGTTGCAGTGGAAATGGGGATAGTTTTTGGTGTGCTGTTCTGGAGGACTTTGAGGGAGAGGGAGGATGATCCCTGTCTCTGTCTAATCCTTGCTATTTGCTGTGGATTCCTACCTGCATGAGCAGCATCATAACAGTAGAAGAAAGCAATCCCAATGTGTTCCCTAGAATTATGGATTGGACTTGATTCTAATTAAAACGTGAATATTGAGTATATTTAATTATAATTTACTTCTTGTTCACGTCTGTAGTAAACACTAGAGCGAGTGACCTCAGCATCATTCTCTTATAATAACATACACAAACAAAGGTGCCATGGTCTGCAGAGATCAGGCTTTTCCCCTATGCATGTTTTCTTTTGAGTTGATATAAATCACTGTAATAACTTGTCAACTCTATAGTAAAGCAAGCAATGAAACTGTCTATCTGAAGCACGTTGTTCCGACAGACTGTTGTCGAAAATCCTTCATGGCTAGGCAGAATAAATTTGTTGGTTTGGAATAAAGAAGAAAGAAAGGATGGTGAGTAGAGGAAGGATGGGACATCAGTCATTGGTCAGGAGGTCTCTTCTAGTAACTGAGTGGCAGTAGATAAAGTGAAGATATCAAAGAAGCTTAAAAGGTTGTTTCTGTATGGTTTGAGTTTGTTTTTTTCCGTAAGGATTTCATGAAGGAAAGAAAAATTGTGGTGGAAATATTTTTTTCTAAAAGGAAGCCAACTCCTTTTCTTGTGCTAAGACAAAGTTCTAAAATCTTCAGTGTCTGAGATGCTAATTAGATGACGGGCTGGGGTGCAGCACCACTCATCCGTTCATTGGCCCTTTCCTGTGACCTGTTTTGCTGCCTGACCGTCACTGAGGCATTCTCAGTCCATGTTATTTCATGCTCCAAATGGCTGCAGAGCTATTGGGAGCAGGGAGAGAAAGACAGTGTGAGAGATGGGCAAGTTAGTGGCAATCCAGGAGGAAGATCATAGGCATTACATAGAAGTTAGATGGTTCTGACTAGGTTTATTTTTATTTTTTATTACCTTTAGAATACAAAGTTGTCTTCACCAATTTGGAAGAGATGTCTAGGAAAATAAGCTAAGTGTTGATTTCTTAAAAATTCAGAAGTAGAATTATTCTTCATTTGGCTCTGAGGGGGCTATTATTTCAGGAATTGCTTTCCAGGACTTGCAAAGGAGAGTCTCGAGCATCAGGATTAACAACAACCGTGATCAAAGCTAAGGAAGATTTCACTGAGATGCAAAATACGAAAGCATGTCATTTCTCAGCAGCAGTTCAGCATTCATTCACTTTATGAGTGATGAGTTACTTAAAAGCGGAGTGGTAAAATATTAATAATATCTTTCTGATAGGAATCTTTCATTGATTTTAGTAATTTCAAGTTTGTGGTGACAGCCACTAATCAGCACAGTTTTTCTGCGGTGAATTTACTGTCAAACCACATTAATTCGTAGAATGTATGGCATTCATTAGTTGTTGCAGGAGCTTTGAGTACATTTTCTGGTGGGGCCTTCATTTAAACTGAGGAGAGGGTAATCCAGAGGATAGGGTACAATTCCCTGCTCAGGAGTTTTGGGTTCTGTTACTTATAGATTCATAATCTGCCTGAAGTGTATTGCCAAGCACTTCATTCCAAGAGCTCATCTTAGTTTTCTACATGGAATCTTATTACATGTTCTTGTCTAGATCCATCGGTGCCACAGAACAAATAAAATTTCTATCAGATGCTGGCAGCCACTGATTCTTATTTTGGTTGCAGGGAACAAAATTTTTCACAATCAAAGGGACAGAATTACCACATGCACCTGAAGAGCTGAAGCGAACCATGGTAAAAAGTCCTTCTTGCATGGACTTTTGTCCACAGAAACTGTTTTGTTTCCTTATTTCCGTAGTATGTAAAATCCAAAGGATGCAGTCTAAAAGATATACTTTATTAACCACTGATTGATTTCAGTTTCAAATAATAATATCCCTCTTACCACATCAATTTTTCAAATTCAGGCAAAGATGACAAGTGTACAGAACAAAGAGAAATCTTAGGAAGTCTTGTTATTTTGTTCTCCTATCTGTGAAATGCTGCACCCAGAGTTCACAGCATTACTCAGAGATCAGCTTTTTTGGCTTCCAGTATGCTCATTGGTTTGGAAAGAGCCTTTTTGTGCTTTGAGTCTGATGCTTGCCTGGACTTTCATATTCTCTCATTAAATCAGCCAGACACTCAGCTAAACACAGTGACTTTCAAAGCTTTGTGTAGGCACATATGAAACTACCAGCTGGAAGCTCTTTCAGACACTGAACAATGACAGAGGCCAAGAAAGAGCCTTCAGCTTAGAGGCGTCTAATTATGGTTGAATCCCACTGTAGGTACAATTCATGGCACCCAAACTGCAGATAATATAATCTGGGAGAGCAGTCCAATGGTCAGGTATAGAAGAGTGGTCAGCTGTGTCCAAAAGCTGAGCATGGAGCCAAGTATAGGTACAACATTGGAGTATGAGGCCATTTAAAGACTGAAATATTTCTTTCAAAGATGGGAGAGAACTGGTGTAGAATAGTGTTCTTCTGTTCTATGTCAGCAGAAGCAGATTTCACTCTGTTTATGGAATTGCAGCATTACTTAGGCATTATTTTAGTAATCCTATTTACTAGATGTTTGTACCTAATATGGCATAAAAATAAAAATTGCACTGCCATGCTTCCCTTCTAAAACTCAGTCATCCTTACCATCCCAACTCCTAACTAATCGAAAGATCAGTGCTGCTAATTTTATTAGTACAAAATAATCCTTAAGAAGAAAGGGCAACTCTCCTTACTTTTCTCTTTCCCACAAAATCTGCTTCCAGTTACTTGAAAAGAGCCCTCATTTAAAAGTATATGTATGAATGCATCAAATTTTGTAATGAGTCCCAAGCTGTAAGCTTGATTGATGGAATTCTTATGGGAGAGAATTTCCAGGTTACTGATAAGAGAAGGGTAGGGACAAACACATTCCCAACATAGAACAGTGCTCATTTCTGAAGGCAAATTGTCTTCTAAATACAGCTTATTGAAGAAATTCAGCACTTTTTAATATTAAAAGTCAGAAAAGTGTTTGTGTAGCAACTTGCCATTGCCATTAGACACATAGCTTTTATGAGGCAATAGAAATATTTGTTTACCTCTCCTGTTAAAAAAAAAAGTGCAACATGCTGTAGCAAGCATGCATGCTTTGCTAGAGTAAGAAATTATTATATTTTGCAGTTGAAGCTCGTGGGATTTTTAAGACCCTCTACAGTCTCTTTTAAAATTAACGTAAAAATCAGGACTTCACAGCATGGTTTGGCAGCTTGAAATAAGAATTAATCCTATATATGTAAAAGAAAAGGTTATGTAACATTGCAGTTTTAACAGGATAAAGCTATGAGGGGTTTCCATGGTAACACTGCTGTCAGCAACTGCCTTGCCCTGGCATCTGGACACGTCTGGGTCTTATGAGGTGACTGCAGGCAATACTGGAAGATTAGATTAGAAAACACATGAGTGATGTGAAGTTTGGATATAATTCAGCATCCTTTTATTAAAAAAATAACATGCAAGCATTTCAGATGAAATCTGTAGAAATTTTGGTGTGGCAGGTGTGTGGAGGCAGTTAGCTGGAGACTTGAGGTCTTATCACGATTGCTAAAGATGGCAATCTGATCTCCCATGCACTCAGATAGATTTGCATGACTTGTCTTCACCCTTACAGGACTTTTGAAAAATCTGACGTGTGTATGTTTGCAAAGCAGCCTCAACATTAGTGAAAGAGATTTCTATTAGGGGACTTAGATTTACTTTTCCTCTGAAAAGCATCTTTAGAAATATCCTGCAATCTGCAGGAAGCCAAGACTGAACAGAAGAGAAAAGCACTTCCAAGTATTCCAAACAAGACATGAATTATAGCCATTTTGACTGTTTTTTGAACTAAGCTAGACCTGAACCTCTTGATCTAGGCTGAGCAATAGCCAAAACTGAATCCAAGCTCAAGCAGAAGGGATGTTGCTGACTGAATCCCAAAATGCTGCAGTGAATTGGAAACCAGCAGGGGCACAACTGTCCCACAGAGTTTAGGAAATTGTACGTTTTTTCCTCTTCCAAAACCTGGAACTCATGCAGTTTTACAGCTTGTGTAAAAAAGGATCTTGTGTTAGATATCATCTGTGATGTAAAAAGTATTGTTTGGGGTGAGCCCATTACTGTTCAGAGCAATTGATCCCTTGAACATCTTCATGGGTGCCAGATTTAGAAAGCCACTGACACATGTCTAATGTTTTAAATGTCAGGCACCCACTGCATGTACAACTGAGTATGGATCTAGAGAAAAGTGATTCTGCAAAAACTGATGAACTTTGTGACCCACCTCTTTGAACAATCCCCTTAAATGTGTTTCAGCCCTACGTGTGTGGAAGAAGTGTTTTAGAAAGTTTTCCTGGAAACTGGTGAGTTACAGGGGCAGCAGCAGGTTATAATGGGAACATTCTGAGCCTTGGGTGGGAGAAATTTGAGGTAGCTGGAAAACTGTAAGGTCAGCAGTGTTCTGGGTTGTTGCTTAATAAAAAATTCATCCGGTATGGTGCTATAATGAGAATGGTGATAGCAAAAGTAAATGAAATTGACATTAGCACTTCCAGTGTGGTGATCATTATATAATTAACAGGCTTTATTTCTCGTGGTTTTTTGTTGTGTTTTTGTTTTGTTTTTATCTTATAGCTGCTTTTATTTCAGACATATAGCAGCGAGAATCTGTCCACTCACTGTATACTATCCCATTAATTCCCACCGTGCATTTCATTGCATCCCATTCATGCCATCCTTCCACTAAGCTTGATTAATGCCAATTTCTCTGCAGTCATTCCCTCAGCATGAGTAAGATGATGACCATATTTCCTCTTTATACAGGAGAGTATCGAGGCAGGGGATAAGGAGACAACTGGAATTGCTGAGAAAGAGAGCGAGGTACATATGAACAGCCTCAGGAATATGGTTTTGCTTTAACATCTTCAAGAGGAGCGTGGCAAATATATATATATGTCATTTGCATGTTATCAATATGCAGACAATACAATATGACTGTGACCCAGCTGTGGTACCAGAACATTTCTCATTCAATGAAAGACCTACCTTAGAAACTGACTGTTGCAGCAGTACAGACTGATAAATATTTTGGGACAAAAAACAATACAGATCCGCAAACAGAAAGTGGTATAATGCTGTTTCTATTGACATTTTGTGGTAAAGAGAGAATATGCTGCATAGATTCACAGTAGCTTTTACATTTTCCTTGAATTTGTTTGTCTAGCCTTCCTCTAAACATCTTTAAAAAAAGAAAAGGAATTTTGATTCATCATTTGTTTTTCCCAGCACAGCTGAAAATAATCATGCTACAAGTTCATTTTTTAAAATACAAATCTGGCATTGAATTAGGTAAATTACAAAGCAACTGAAAAACTCAGTGACATACTTAATTTCTCTTTAGGTGGGCATGTTGAAATCTAAGGGTGGTATGGTTGTATTTTGCTTATAGAAAGCAAGACACTATGAATCCTTTTGTACAGAATTGAAACTGCAATGTTTTCGAGTGTGCATGGAGAGCAGCACAGGAAGAAGAGCTACCTATTAAATGCGGGAAGAGAAGTAGGGAATGAGAAAGAAATTGTTATTCCTCATTGCTAATTGCTTAGAATCTGTATCTTGAAGAGCTGATGAACTGTTTAGTTATGTTATTTATCTTAGTGCCACAGCATATACGAACAGATTATAAACTGCTTTCTACTTGCTTTGGTTTTGGCTCAGCTGTCCAGGCTTGGTTTTGTTACACTGATGTAAACATGCATTAGCCCTCCTGGAATCTGGGATATGTCTATGCTCTATGGCTGCACAGGGTATCCCGTGTTGCATGGAAGCAAGATTTGCAGCCAGCAGTTGTCCTTGCTGGGCAGCATGGCTGAGCCAGGATATGGTCCCACTACCATGGGCTGCTTTCTTCCTGTGACCTGTAGCCCTGACTCACTGGTGCCATACTCCTCACTGTGTAGAAGCCAGGGGAATTATACTAAAAAGAATTTACAGAATGGGAGAGGTAGATCAAACCCAGTTTCTATAGCTGCTGGTGTTGATGCGCTGCAAATGTGAGTTGCACTGCTTCTCTGGCATTGTCTTACCACTACCAAGTCTGGGCCAAGAAACACCTTGCTATCTGCTGAGCACAAAGGCTAGGCCTTTGAAATGCATCTTTCCTCTGTTTTCCAAACTACCTGCCCTTGTAAAGTTACTCTCTGGTAAGTTTAACCTGTGTAGAGGAGCAGTATTACTGCATGCAGAAGAGATGCTGTCAGGCATCAAGCTGTTTGCTAAGATGATATCCTGGCTCCAGTGGAGGATTGTCCTTCTGATGCAATTTTCATAACCAGTACTTTCAGTATTATCCAAAAGCCTTCCAAGACTTTGCAAGCAATTGGTGTGCTCACTAAAGCATGATAATTAGTTCTTGATCTTGTATTAGACAGTTTAGCTGTAATTATGACTAACTGTCATAAAAATTACCCAGTCCTTTTCTAAATTAAGCCGTGGAGCAAGATCTTCAGCTCTGGAAAATGGGGAGAGTTGAGTGAGCTCCTCCCAGACCCCCAGCTGCAGACTTGGTAGCTCTCCTCCTCTTCATGTCCTCATTCTTGCTGCTGCTGAATCTGTGGCATTGCACTGAGCTGACAGTGGTGTTAATTAGAGGATAATCCAACCGTGTGGATCGGCTGCATCCTGGGTAAAGAAGCATTCACTTTAACTGCAACTAAAAGTCACATGGCTCTTTTATCACAGCCTGCATTATATTGGATGGCCCTTGTTTTTTCTCCTGTGTGGCTGTGCAAATTTCAGTAACACTTCTGTAGATAGCTAGTTTAGGATACTCTTAGTCTGTGTAATGTTATGGAAAACAGGTCTGTAGAATTGGTTCTCAAAATGAAGACAGGAAATACCTGCAGGTACGTGGCCCGTTATAGCTAGGTGTGGGATTCTTGCTGTTCTGATTCCAGTGGAATTGGGCCTCCCTCTTTTTAATTTAGTTTAGGGTTTTTTTTGATACTAACAGTGAAATTCATTCAGCACTAGCACACATGCTTTTGTAAAAGCCATTTTTTAATTATCTATCTTGCTTTGGTTTTGTATTCTAAGACATGGAAAATATACAGTTGTAATCTGTGCTGTACATTCAGTGAGTTACAGCTACAGGCTGAGAGAGCATCACCCTTTCAGTGCTGACTATTTGAGAGCTGACTCATGTAAATTAAAATTCTCCTCCACAGTAAAAGAAAATTGGCTATACAAATCCAATAAATAGAAAATAAATGTTGATCCTAATCACAACAGACAGCAAGATCAATTTCTGCAGCATGCTGTTAGAAGCACATGTTATAAAATCAATCTGATATGCATTCTGTTCCCCTCCTTTCATACTGGTCTCTTCCAAGGCTTTTTCATCCACCGTTTATTTGAATGCTAACCTAGGTCAAGACTGCTAAATTGGTAATACTGTGAGAGACAGGTTTGCGTGCCTTACAAGTCACAGGAGAAGATTTCAGCATTCATCCATGTCTTTTGATATTACTTCTATTTGTGACAGAGTATCCTTCCCTAGCAGAATTTTCAGTTCAAGCTAAAACTTCTCCAGTGATTTCTGCAAAACACTAGAGTATTTTCTGCTTTCAAGGATTGCAGAAGAATTTATTTATCACATCAGTTAATATCAATCACTAGGGATAGATACAGCCAAAAAACAATGACTGAAGAATGATCATGAAGAAATGCAGGTAGTTCAAGTTGAGCTCAGATAGCTGAATTAGTCTCATTCATGGATGGAAAATCAATCTGAGAAAACAGAGCATCAGGCTGTTAACTGAATTTCTGCTAAACTTAGCTTGATGTTGGTACCTAGAAAATAGCTTTTCTTTAGTGTTAGAAACTTCCCAAAGTTAATTGAATTTTTTTATTTGCCTTCACCATCAAGCCTTAAGATGAATCTACAGTAAACTTAAATCAAGTATATTACTGTAAACAAATACCAGTAATACCAACACAAATGTTAGAGTGATACGTAAATTATCTCTGCTGGAGGAAGGATTTAACAATGGCCTTTAGGAAGGTACTTTTCTATCTGCCTTTCAATAACTGAAATAAAGTGCATACTGACTTTTCAACACAGACTAATGACAAATGATTCAGTCATATCAAATGTACTTGGGTCTTTATTTATGTTTCTTTCTTTTTCAAAATTGGCCTAGCTATAGGCTAACATTTTCTGATACCTGATGACATCTGAATATTTCTAACCTTTATCTAGCTGTAGAGTATATTTGCTTCAGCTAATATAGCCCAAGTTGCACATCTCTGTTCATAAGGAGTTTAATTAAGGCAATGCTCTTGAAGGCAGTCCAGGTCTAGAGATTGGAGACAGCAGATGGAGAAGACTTGTAGCCTGTTCCCAAGAACAGACTTTCACCAGCACAGTGGACCTCAGGACAGTTTGCCAAGCTTCAACTCACCATGGACCTGCAGGGAATTTCTCACACCAAACAGTTTGGAGGCAAATCAGCCCTGAGAATCAGTCACATAACTGTTTCAGAGAGCAGTGGGAGGATGCCATTGTATATGCGTGAGAAAGAAGAGACAATGAAAAACACATGAGCCTTGAGAAATTTTTCCTACACCAGCAATACCCATCTGAAACTCTACTACATGTTCACAGGAAGTAAATGTCCCTCTCCTGCCTGTTAATCAGCTTTGTTGTCCAAGCCTACCCCTGTGTTCCCTACATGGTGCTTCAGGCATAGGATGGCAGCCTCTGTGCTGCTTTCCCCCTTGGGTCAGGAGAAACCCCAATGAAACAAAGCCAGGGGCTGGCAGCACCTAAGGAGATCACAGAGCACAGGATATCTCCAGCTGATATTCACAGCTCATGTCCTGAAAAGTTTTTCCTTTTGTTCTGTAGGTGGTGAGTGCTGCAGATGGGGCAGTGACAGTGGAGGACAGCGTGGTGGTGGCAGCAGGAGCTGGTGAGGGTGCTGCTCCCACTGAACAGGAGGCTGCTGCTGAAGGTGACAAACCTCAGGGAGAAGAAAAGGAGGTTGATGTTTCTCAGGTACCTCATGTTGTTGTGTGGGGGAGCATTAGAGGAGTCCAGTCAGATCCAGCAGCTCCCAGCACAGGCAAGGCTGATGCAGCTCCGTACCCCAGGGTCTAACAAGCAGTGAGGATGAGCATGTATTCTCAGTTAATGCACACACAGAGCACACATAGACATGATATTTGTACATACACAGACAGCCATGGAAATCATAGACGGACACACGGGGTACTCGCACAAACACAGGCATTACCAGCAGCCTCATCACGTTCTCCTCTCTGGCTGAGCAGGGTAGAGATCTACTAGTGACAATATATATATTCTTATATACATGCTGATGTCACTCAAGTCCACTCACCTGAGTGTCTCCAGTGGCTGGACCTGGATCTCTCATGTGGCTGGCAGATGGGCACACGGGCCCTCCAATCCATGACCTGCCCCTAGTACATACATGGGCAAGAACAATAGACAGCCCTCACCCTGGAGATGAGTTAGCAAACAATTTAATGAGAAGATAGGACAGACCACACTCATCAGGTGCAGGACATGGCCAGATAATCACTTGAACTATCCTCTACTTACATGCAACCAGTCCATTTATCCTTATCTATGCCTTTGTTGTCCCACACTTGTTCCTCCCCAAATTGCCTCAATCCACCCACTGCTTTTGGTTTCTCCCTTAAACATCCCATATTAAGTCTTGTACAATAACGTGTCCCATGGCTCTTGGCAACAACCTCCCTCAGTCCTGAAAGTGCTGTAGGGCATGATGGATTTCACACCTGGACACTGGGACAGCTCTGAAAGAGGTCCAGGTCACTTCTGCTTTCACACCTTGTGTTCCTCTAAGCTCTTAGAACTTTTACTTTTCTGCACAATTATTGTTCTCTGTCTTGATATAAGAATCCCACCTTCAGCAGAAGTAAAGAAACGTGTTTTTCAACTTGAAATAAAGTACTAAATGCTCTTGTGGTGCTTTTGTTGTATTTTATTTCTTTTCCTAGGAAAAAGTCAGCAGCATCCCTTCAGTAGTAATAGAGCCAGCATCGAACAACGAAGGGGAAGGAGAAGAACATGATGTCATCGTGAATGAGTCCAAAGATGCTGCAGCAGAGGTGGGCACTCAGGGCTCTGACATTGAAACTTCCCAAGTTGGAAGTGAGCAGAAACCCACTGAAGAAATCCAGACTGCACCTTCTCAAGATCAGCCTGCATCAGCAGGAGACACAGCTTCTGACATGCCACCGGGCTTTCTCTTTAAGGTCTGCTTGTTTGGGCTTTTTTAGACATCTTTTCAGATCTAGCTTCTGTGAATGTGTCTGAAAATAGAGTCATTATGATGGTTTCTTGAGGCCAAAGGATGCCTAGTTTCACATCATACACTCACCCAACCTTTGGTTGTGTTTTTTCTCCATACATGAATTTTGAGGAATATGTTTTCTGCACTTGGATTTTGTTGGTTATATCCCGTTGTAGCTGTAAGAATCCTTAAAGTTCTCCTTTCATCTCACCAAATCAGTACTGACAGTGAATCTTTTAAGTAAAATTCCATTGCCAGCGATTTAGTCAGCACTATTGTACGATTGTTTGCTAACAATATCAAAAAGGCATTTTTCTGGCCTGAGAGTCTGTAGAGGAAGTTCCAGCCCTATTGAAATCTATGGGACTTCAACAATTCACTGTAATGAAGTTAAAGTGTCATTTTGTGTCCTTAGTATTACTATACTTACAAACTGTTAGGGAATTCAGACAGAAAAGTTTAATGAAGCTTGAGGGAAATTCTCTCCTTGGCTGCTAAGACCCACAGAGATTCCTGGTTCACAAGGTTCTTTTCACTTCAGAATCACTGAGCAGGAGAAACGCTCCTTGAGGATAGATGAACTTTATATGCTTCCTACTTTAATTTGCATACTTCAGACTAATTAGTCCCATAGCACTCCATAAATATGCCATTCTTTCTGATCCATTTTCATTGGTCAATATTTTCAGCAAACAGTGAGAATAACATTAAGGTTAGAATGACCAGTATTGTGCAGTTTTGATGCAGACATGCTGCCACGGTTCATCTTTTGTTTTTTGTCACGCTTCCTTGAGTTGAACATAAATAAGAAGCAGCAGAATATATGACTGCCATCTGGTTCCTGATGCTGTATTTTTTCATTATTGCAGTTACCATGGAACTGTCTGTGCCTTTGAGAAAGCTAGGATAGTATCTCTCTTAAGGAGGAAGAGCTATTTAGTTAAAATGATCTGATCATGACAATGTACTAACCCCACAAATGTTTGAATAATCACCTCTTTGAAAGGGGGATGTTTTTGGCATTCCTATCTGCCAGTAAATGGGAGTTCTTTCCAGGACAAACAGGAGCTATGGTTCCCATTATTAACTTCTTTTATCTTATATTGAAACTGGTGCTGTACCTCTCACTCTGATTTCCAGAGATGTCTACACCAATAATAGTATCTAGCAGACAGCATAAGGGTCACATTTCCTGTGATTCTTTTCCAAGCTTATTAGCAAAATCCTGCCATCCCTCTCCTCAGGTCTAGTAATGATAGTGGGAAATGAAAGCAAGTTCCTTGCACGGTGGGAATAATGTAACAGGACTTGTCCAAGAGGCAGCACTTGTGGGATTCTGCAACCTTGGGAAAGGATGTTTGGTTTCTTTCAGTAGTTTCAGGAAGATTTACTAAAACTATACCTGTTTCATAAACTATAAATAGAAGCTTTGATGTGAGCATTAACAACTTGAATGTACGTATGTATGGCCATATATTTCCATAAAGAAAGAAGTGAAAAAGTATGTTTTTCTTTTTTCACAATGTCTCTGTTTTGATCATTTCTGTATATTTGGTATTTCCTTTAGGTTGAAGTTCTGCATGATTTTGAGGCAGCTAACAGTGATGAGCTTAATTTAAAACGAGGGGATATTGTACTAGTAATTCCTTCTGAGACCACAGCTGATCAGGTAACAACATGATTATTTCTTTTGTTAATGTTTCCCTTTGTCTCAGTTTTCTTCTCACTGTTTATAATTAATTTGAAATGTTGATTCAAAACGTCTTTACTGTTAGAAAACACCAACATTCTTAATTTGTCCTTTTACTTGGTTTAATTTGTGACCAAACAGCACAGTTAACTAAGCTGAAGTCCCAGGTATACACTACCAACAGGATCCAGCTTCAGTACATTTTTCTAGGGCACTTTTATGTTACTTTGTAGTGAATTTTATACAGGCTTACATACATACACAGGCTTAATACAGAAGATGATGGCTTACAAATTGTGCATCCTGTTGCTATCATTTTGTTGTAACATTGAGTCAGAACTGATTGTATGTTCCCCACGTCTTCAGAGTTCTACATGGAGATCTGGAGAAATATACATTTGCCCAGAGGGAGCACTGAGACTACACACAAACAGTTCTGTCCTGCAGCTAAATGTCACAGAGGTATTTCTACATGTTCTGTGTGCCTCTGGGAACCTGAGCCTCACACAGCAGAGCTCTTGAACTGCACCAGCAATCACTTCGTCTTTGATGCGAGGACCCAACAGTCCAATGTCACTTAAGATATTTTATTTTGTTTTAACAGCGTGTTTCAGGTTAATTTTTAAACAATTTAATTCCACACGTTATATTGAATTGCCGTCAAGTGAATTAATTTTTGACTACTTCTTTAAGAGAAGACCATCTTGTACAATTACTACGAGCCACTTTGTGGCTGTAGTGGCAGAAAGTGGTGATGAAAAGTATCCCACTGAACTAGGGGCTGGGAGGTTGGGGTCTGGATCCTACACAGTGAGATAGCCAGGTGATCTGCTCTGAATGAAGAACATTTCTTAAAATATGCCCAAATACTGTCTAGTGCATATTTGGAGAGCCAGAGACTGTTCACTATCTAAGCTGAATTCTCTCTTAATACAAGAGACATGTAATTGTTTTGGTTTTTGATTCTTTTTTATTATTATTTCTGAATAAAAGATTATTTTTATTTTCCTTTTCACTAGGACACTTCATTATTTTTGTAGGGACAGATTCTCCTATACTTACTCAAACTGTGCTGCGTCATACCTCTTGGGCTGTTCAAGTGATTTTATTGTCAGTATTTGCAGAATACTACTCTAAGGATATAAAAAGAGGTTGTCTTCAGTTATTTTTTCTTACAATGTTTTATATTAAATATATATAACCTTCACTTGGTGAATCAATTAATTACTTTTCTCTTGTGGTGTGCATCCAAATCCCATTAGCATTAATTGGAGTAAATTGTGTGCAGTGATGGAGAAAATAAAGCTTCATGTATTCATATTTCTGAGATCATTCTGCTCATATCTTTATCACTCAGTGCATATTTGCCTTTCATGTTTAACATCACCGTAAAACTTAATTTTTCTCTTTTACCAGATACTTTGTTGATTTATAGAGAGTATTTTTCTTGGTTCTTTTTTCTCCTGCAAAATTGATCTAAACCCATCATTCTGCTATACCTAGTGCTGTCAGCCTGTGTTCACTGTTCAAAGCCAACTAATCCCACCCAGTGACTTCAATTTTTTTCCATAATTATTGAGTTGAAGTTATTATCCATTAAAACTTCAGTCCTTAGTAGAATCTACTCTGTCCATAGTAGAAAACTTCAGTTCCCCCATCTCAGCTTTTCCAAAACACGAGCTTCAAAAACATGCTGCCAGTTACTCCATCTCTTTTTGTACTTTCTGTAGAACAATAATGAATCAGCATTAGAAATTCCCTGTTAATCATCAGGGACTCTGACTCCTGTTCTTAAAAGGAACAAAGCACAGAGTTAGTCATTTGTGAGATGAAAATAGGCTGATCACTGCAAAAAATACTGAATGGATTTTATTCCAGGTAAAATGGATAGCACTTAAGAGAACCCAGCATTTTCCAATAAGAAATCTTCCTTCTGATTGATTGTGCTGCTGAGGATTTGGATTGCAGTATTGCATGTCAAGATCTGGCTTAGGCTAAAGTTTCCAGGAATTTTTGAAAAAGGTAGTTGAATATCAACTGAGTTTTAGTTTCTAGAAATTATGACAGCAGAGAAAACAAGAATTGTTATTTCTTCTGACTGTCAATAGAGGAATGAGAGAAAAGAATGCTCGGAAAAAAATAATCAGATAAAAAGATTGATTTTTTTCCCCTCATCTGTGACATTCTATAATGATTCTAGCACACTGCTATGCTCTTACTATGTAAGTATCCCAATATTACTGTGAGAACTTTGAAAACATCTCCACATGCATTTGCACAAGTGCAGGTTTGCTATAATACTGGATGACTCCAGAGGCTGATTACTGATTCAGTTGGAGGTTAGGTGGGATAAAGGCCATATAATATGCTCACAGTCAGTCTCACAAAACCATGGTCTGGCAGAACAGAGAAAACAATCTGTGCAAAATCATAGTACACTATTTAACCAAATCACCACTTCTTTTAGTCATATGACTCTAAAACTTCTCCGGGCCTGGAGTATGCAGAAAGGAATGGGAGAGACCTGAAACTGAAGATGCTCTGTCTTTTTTCTTTCAGGAGGCTGGCTGGTTGACAGGCATTAAGGAATCTGAGTGGCTTCAGTACAGAGATGCAAATAGTTATAAAGGACTTTTCCCAGAGAACTTCACACGCCATCTGGAATAGTTCTTCTCTCAGGCACACGAATGTGGTATGAAGCTCAGTCAGTAGGTTTTTAACCTCTTTGAAACACAGGAGCCCACTTTTTTGTAGTTCAGGCTGCTAATGGTTTACAGATTGGTGCCAGACAAAGCTTGCTGAAGCATATCAAAATGAGCATGAGTGCAAACAGTTAAGCTAGCAATTTCTGAAGCAGTGCGTGAAAAAAAAAATCAAATAAAAACAGAAATGTCCTTATTTGTTCACATGTACGTGGCAACAGGTTTGTTTGTGCTTTGTCAGAGCTATGGTGATCCTGTATTTGGTCCTTTCCCATGAAATCCAAAATTAGCCTCCTTGATACCAAAACCTTAACTTCTCTGCACTAAGTGTATTGTATTGAGTTGCACTGCAGAAAATTTAATTAGTAATCCTGTAGTAATGAGGTCAAACTATTATAAGTTTCATGTGTTTAAAAGATATAATTAACTGCTGCAACGTTTTTCAGTGTTACTTTTGGACATGCATAATATATATACACAGGAACTTGAATGTGTATATATAAGTGCATATGGGTATATATGCATTTTAACAATTTCATTGTAGTTCTTTGACTGTGTAGTGTCATCAGTACATGCATTGCTCTCTCACTGTCTGGCATTACAGGAAACAGTTTTGTTCCAAAGCAAAACTAGCTGCTCCATTGCCAAAACATTGAACAGTATCCGTGTTAGTAATGTGAAATTTTCATTCTGAGATGATGAATAACATCATTTTCAAAGCTGCTAAACTTTTGAGAAGGCATGGCTCAGTTTCCTCTTCCAGCTGCAGTAGTTACAGTGAGATAATCTGGAAGGGGAACTGTTATGATGCTCATCTATACTTTTTTATTTAATTGGCTGAATAAAAAAAAAAAAAAAAACACAACAAAATTAATCTCTGAGAAATAAACTTAATATATTTTCACAATAAGTATTTATGCAGCATACCTTCACAAATCCTTTTAAATTAAGATATGTAATGTATCCTGTATCAAAAAGTCATCTGTAACTTATGTTTTCCAGTGCTGTGTCATTAAAAATAAACCTTTGATCCAAAGACGTTTAATCTGTGATGCTTTTGAAGTTTTGTTACAATGAATTTCACGTGGTTCATGTGTTCTATTAGGGAATGTAATTTTAATTTAATAACTCTTTTTCCAAAGAAGCACAGCGCAACTGGTGCACCATCTAAACTCTTGCTTTCAACCTCAGGATTCCAACAGGTCTGATTCCCAGCTCAGCACATCTCCTGACTGCTCCTCCTGGAAATGGGCTCTGGCCACCAGCAGCAACAAGGGAACTTGTCTGTGCCCAACTGTCACTCAGACTGCTACCTCTTATTCGTTTCTTGCTTGTCCATTTATCTTGTGTGAAAAGAAAACTCTCTGTCAGACTGCTCTGTTCTGTTTGCTGATGCATGGAAGCTACAAATATTTAGGAACACCCACATTTTCCTAGCAGTTCAGTTATTTTTTGTGATATTTTGGTCGTAAGCTTTTTTTGTGTGTGTGTATAAGTTCTTTCTACTCTAATTTGTCAGACTTCAGTTGAAGAAATAGAATTTCATTGTTCCTCTGAAAGAGAAGGGAAGTTGCTTTCTTGGTATCTACTGAATTCAGTAGCTTTCAAAAGGAACTTTGATGGTAGCTGTATTTTGTGGAGAAGTGGAGTAGCTCGACTGGGTAGCTGGGATTTTGGCTTTAAAATGTTACAGTGAGCAACTGGAGTCTTGGGATGTCGTGGAAAGCTCTTTGGTTTTCTTTTCAAACCTTTAACAGGCTTGGAAATCGATAGTGATCCAGCACCAACAGTTTCTCCAAGGGAACAACTTTTCATTTGTTTTTGATGTTACAGTAAATTCCAGACTCCGGTGCACTGGGTTGTCATAATGTCCTGTTAAACCTCATCTATGGTGCAACTCTGATAACCTCCAGGCCACAGTTTCCTGCTTACCTAGATCTCAACATTTGCTTTTCAGCAATAGCTGTTCTGCAGATCACTGCAGATGACCCACAAGGGAGCCTCCATTTCCCTGTGCAGTCTGTGTTGTCACTTCTCAGACAGTCAAGCAGGACCATCGTTACAGCCATATTGCTAAAGAAGCAAGGAATGGTGTGAGATCCCCAGGAAATCTCTTTACCCAGTGATGTCTGTGTGCAGTTATCTTTGTGCCCTCTTCTTGCTAGAAGTACCCAAGTCAAATTTAACACTCTTGACCTTGCTACTCCTAAAACCTTGGTATAGGTGTATGTGCCAAATTCACTGACAGGGGGTTTGAGGTACACATGTGATGTGTACTTGGATGGGAAAGGTGCCTAATCTACAGCAAAGAATTGTCATGCCTTCCTCTGAAATGCTCTTCAGCAATACTTCTTACTCCTGTTCTGTGTTTCTAAAAATCTCCTCAGCATAAAGAAAAATATAATTTCAAGAACCATCTAATGTCTGCCTCTCGCTGCAAGCACTGTCATGATTTGCTGAAAGTACAAAGATGTACAGATAATGTCCAAGCAGCCATGCTATTGCACATGATGCATGTGTGATTGATGTGCTGCAGGTTCCCGTGGACACGACACCGTGCTGGCATGAAGTACATCTTGCATCTCACATCCACACCTCAGATCCACAAAGCAAATAGGCTTCTTGTGGGAAGGATGAGGAGAATTATTAATGTTATCCTTAAAAGTCCTTGCAAAAATTCGTATAACAAGATGATAGATGCAAAAGGAAGGATGTTGATAGACTAGCCAAAATATTATTTGTCCTAATTTTCCCTCTGAAATATGGAGCTGGTGAATAGAAGGATTTATCATTTGGAATTTAGAGCTGTTTCTCAGATTTGATTTCTTCTTACTCGTGTTTCATAAGACAATCATACTTCTCTCTCAGACACATTTATTTCTGCAGCTTCTGAGATGCATGGTATAAAATAAATGTATTTCTTGGTGATTTATATAAGCTTATTCATGGGCAAGCAAGGGAAATTTTTCTATTTTATTCTTTTGTTTGTTTGTTTGTTTGTTTTTTCTGTTGCATTCAAGTGATACCCTCCTCTCCAGACCTGTATTAGCCCAGAACTATTTCCCACTCTTGCATTTCTCTGTTTAACACACTATATTGGACTTGGTGAATTACCAAATGTTATGCTTTCCAGGTGATTGTAAAGCAATAGCCCATTGTGTCTTGATTTCTCTAGAGATTTATTTATGCCTAGGACAGCACACACTGCTGACATACAGCAGCTATCATTTCTATTTCTACACTGAATGAACACTCAGAATATTTAGGGCCCCGATGTCCTGTTCCTGTGGGTTGTGGACGGTGTGGCCTTGGAAGTAAGACAGAGTGACTGAAATGGAGGAGTGTTTCATGAGAGTGAGCTGATAAATTGTGTATTTGCAGCTTGTCTATCCAGTTTACAGCCTTTCATGAATAATGGCAAGTGTGCAAGATGAATGGCACTTTTGTCCCATTCCTCCTTTTCCTCCTCCTCTCCCTCCCCCTGCCCCTTGTTCCATCCCTCCCCTGTCTCCCACCTGGGTGCATCTGTCCCTGCCACCAGGAGAGAAAGTGTGCTGTGGGTACCATTTTGCTCGAACTGCGTGGGACTTGTTTGCACGGTGCTCTGGTTACTGATGCCCTAGCACCAGGAAAACACAAAGTAAACCACAGTCTCATTAAGCTCATGCTTAATGAACGTCTTTAAGTATCTTTCTGACTCGAGGGAAAAAGGCATTGAACAATGTTGCTATGGTGGGTAAGGTAAGTGGATGAGGTGGTGGGTGTAGGTGCAGTTTGCAAGAGTGGGCAGGCAGAGCACAAGCACTGTACAAAAGCTCAAACAGGATTTTATTGTTAGTTTGCAAAACAGATGTAAAAGATCTTTTTTATTTGAAACAATACGTCACAGGTGATGACTCACCATTTGATAAGCCAATTCCTGTCTACGAAAAGTAGTTAGCCCAGTTAATTAAGGTCACATTTCTTCAAGCAGTGCAAAAGAGCATGGAGATGTTTTTCTGTCTGCTGTAATGAGCAGAGCTGGCTCTGATGTGTTCTCTGGCAGCAGAAAGTTTGCTGCAGATCGGAGACCATGGGGCTGAGAGCCAGCTGCTTTGTGAGAGTAAAGGTTTGTCACTATTCAGGGGGAGGAATTTGAGGTAATGTGATCTTAGTCCATGTCTAGAATCAGAGAATACAAAGTGGGGTGTGGTTTTAAACTGAGCATCTCCCCAAATGTATAGATACACGATAAGATAGCCACTTTTAAAGCATTCCTCTCTCAGATCTCCACCCACTGATTTCAGCTCTGATGCTGTCTTTGCATGTAGCTGCCTCCAGCAACATTTCAAACACACCTATGTTACTCTTGTGTGGACGTCTTCACTCTGATCCATCAGCATCACATGGGGAAAACCACAGCACTTTCCAAACACCTCCTCCTGTAAATCGACAGGAAGACTTCATAATTAACATTATTCTAGCAAAGCTGAAATCAATCAAAGCTGAAAGGGAACTGTGCTTCGTAGCACAGTGTGCTTAGTAGCAGTTAACAGAAACTTTGCTGAAAGAAAACGCTTAGAAAATAGTGGAAGTACCACTCCATGTACAGACAGGACTTCTGCCCAGCCACAGACAATAAATGCAACGCAGAGAAGAGCAAAGCAGCATGTAGCCATTGGAAATATGGTCTGCAGGAGTCAGAGACTCACATGTGCCAAAGAGCATCGGCCTCCTCCACCCTGGTGGGTGTGTGCTGAAGTACCATTGTGCAAGGCCACCATCTGCCATGCACTCGAGCAAGGCATGCATCTACACTGCTGGGCACTGCTGGTCCTAATAGCCCAGGGTTCAAAGGTTCTCCATGAGCTGTCAGAAAAGTAGGCACAACTTGAAGCTGGGTGGCTTTTCTGGAATAAAGCACTGCCCCTTTGTAGCTAATAACAAGCATAAAAGTCCTGGGTATATCCCAAGCATGGCTTTAGACCAGAAAACAAACTGGAGTCTCTCCCTTTTGGTGCTGCTGTGGCACTCAGTTTGCTGTGGCACAGGCTAACCATAGGTGTCTAATTGTGCCTGTGTGGTTGGTAGGTGGACTGTTCCTAACACACCACGTAACAGGACATCAAAACCCCAGAACAGTGTCTTTGTAAGTTTAGATTATTAAATTTCCAAGATACATGCTTCAGAGGAGGAGGTGAGCGTTTTTCAGACTTCCTGTACTGTGTGCATTTCAGGACAGATTCTATATACAAGTTTTGTTTGTTTCTTTTCTTTAATTTAAACATGTTGAGCTGCAATGGAAGGAAGCTGTGTATCAGTGAGTGAAAAAAAAAGAAAGAAAGAAAGAAAGAAAGAAAAACAAAACAGGAAACCATCACAACCATGTAATCTTGAAGAATGATCTGTGTGTCAAGGTAACATTGCTGAATGTGAAGGTGATACAAAATTCTCTCACTGGCCAAAATCAGACAGACCCCAGACCTGAGAAAATGCTGTGACCCCACAGGTCTGGTAGAGAAATAACTGAAAGTAGAAACTGCCTATAGTCATTCACAGGGATTCAGAACACTTAAAATAAAGTCTATGTGAGATAAACGTTTTACTGGAGAAGCTATAAAAATTCTGAGTCTTTGAGTATCTCCTGGTGCAGGAGTGAACATCATACTCCTGTCCATTTAGAAAAGTACTCTTCAAAATAAAAGGGATTGGTGCACTATTGTTCTGCTTGAAAATGTCAGCATGCTATGGGAATTCTCAGCATCCGCCCGCACTCATTACACAGCTGCTCAAAAAGTTTACTCCTTTTCTCCCAGCAGAGGGTGGTAGACACTAGAATTTGTATTTAAGGGATTGGAGATACCACTTGATTCAGCCTTCAGATACGATTTTTTTTTTGCAATGACCTCTTAGCATCTAAAGTTGGCTCACAGCTACAGACACACAGGCAAATGAAATGAGTCTTACATACAGTTACAGTTGTAACTGGCTACTTCAGCATGCTGGCAAATGAAGATAGAGCAGCACATTGCCGAGCTGTTCTCTCATTGCT